CGTGTTCGGAGGGAAAACGTGGTGTGGTGTCAGGTGGCTCATCAGGTGATTGTAGAACAGGGAGTTGGTGACAGGTGACATGTGACATGCAAACAAAACATCCCGAGTTTGGAGTCCTCTCTTCCTCTTCCTTGCTGTCCGCATCATGTCTCCCGTTGTCACACCTCTCCCTTCCATCTCCCTCCAGGGGTCCCGGACGACTCAATTTGGTTTCTTATCGTGGGGAGTGGCATTCTTTACACAGAGACTGTCTGGACCGATGGCGTTCGGCTGGGATGACCCTCGCCCACGCGAATCACCGTTTTGACGCTAAGGGCGTAGGCTTCGCGGATGCAACACGCTAGGCATGTTCGACCTACTCTGCCAATGATGGCATTATACCCAGATGATGCGCACCATGCCCTGGCGAAGGTCTCCTTGTCGCGAGAGCCGCGTGCATCCAACACCGTTACTTCGCGCTGGCTGTGATTGGACCCTCCCACGTTGCGGTCCAAGGATGGCGTCTCCGTTGCCGATGATTCGGGTAATGCGTCGAGGGCCAGTACTTTGTATGCGTATGTGCGGTATAGTGGATGGCCCGGGAGACGGTGATGTTTATGCGACGTACCGCTGGACGAGCCTGATGAGGAGCTGTTGTCGCTTGCTCCGGACACGGAGGGCGTGTTTTGGGTCGATATGAGACCTTCCGGAGGTCGACATTCATGCGATGCGATGAACTGCACGTTGTATGTCAGTGGAATGGAGAGCGTTCGGGGAGATTTGATGTTTTCGGAGGCTAGAGTAAAGGTCGTGCAGGACTTGTGCGCCACTAGATGCGGTTTGCCCTGCAGAGGTTGTGCATCGTGGCCGGAGAGTCTCAGCCCTTCAAAATTTATCTTGACCCCGTCGATCTGACCGTCGGTTGGCAGAGAAAAGGCACCGCACGGCGTGTTTCGCATGGGAAGAGGGTTGGATTCGTGGGTCAACTTCGGGCCCTGTTTGATGCGCGGCTTGCCGGGGACCTGCGGCACAGGTTTCACGATGACCTCGAACCAGCTGTTGTGGATGTCTTCTGACGTGTTGGAGTCTTTGGGGAGGACTGGGGTGCCGATCCATCCCATGGATTCTTTGCTGCCTTCCAAGCTAGCCAGTACTCGACCGACGATGCATTCTTTGCTCCACCAGCTTCGCCCGGAGTACGAGAACCCGCCGTAAAGGTTGATAAGCGGTCCGAGCTGAGCCATAGCATCCGGGTCGTTCTCCAGCATTGTAGCCATCAGTAAGTGATTGATCATCTCGCCGGGCATGACGAAGCCGGACAGCCAACTTCTTGTGATCCAGCCACCGAGATCCCCGGGCTCTTGGGAGCAGTGCAGCAGTAATCGTCGCCGAGACAGGCTCCGACTGTACATCTCGTCTACCTTGGAGCCAAGCTCAACGCCTTCGGGTAATACATTGTGAGTGGGAGTGTTGTACGCATCTACTAGCTGTTGATTAGTTGGGTCGTCTCCGGCCTTGGACTGAAGCTGGGCTTTGACGGCGTCCAAGCCGGGCCAGCCGATGTTGTCGGCAAACACAAAGAGTCCTTGCAACTGCAGGGGGATATGGGATGGGGTAAGCTTGCAGTTCCAGGAAGATTCGACGGGCCTTGCCGGAGGGGATGTCGACCTGTGCATGAAGCTCTCGAACAAACGATGATGGTGTCGTCCACCGTGCTCGTGAGTTGGCGACGATGGAGACGAGGCTTTTTCGTCAGATGCCACTGCCGGCTCATCTGCTCTGTAGCTGATGGTAAAGCTATCCATGAGGCGCCGCACGGCGACGATGTCCCAATCGACCTTGCCGTTTCGCGTTTTATCGAAGTCCAACATGTCTCTGGGAGAAGGGCGCAGTTCATTCGAGTGGCCCAGGATACCCAACCGCACCGTCGCATCTAGGCGCAGCAGTAGTTCACCTGCAAGGAGCATCTGAACCAAGTACCATTTGCGCTCCAATGTCGGATGAACCCATGGCTTGTGACTGGTGCTGGAATCCAAGAAATCACCGTCCACATGAGGTGCCGCCTCCCAGAGCAGTTGCCCGGCCCGTAACCTCCATTCCGGCAGACTGAAGTTCGCCCAGGCCCCCGGCGTGGCCAGCGCAACCGTGAGGGCCTTGATCTGCGCCTTGATCCCGTGCGGATCGTTGATCCCTTGCAGCATGAAATGGGGTAGGGGGTAGAGAAATTTAGTGAACAGCTCCCTCGACAGCTCGTGCACCGACTCCCGATCCGTAATCGACCTCGCTTTGGTTCCGTGCAATATCTCATCTCGGATATAGGCCAGCTCTCGCAAACGCTCGACCATTGTTTTCAGGTCAATGTCTCGAACGCCTATTCGGCGCCAGGCCGACGGGCCCTCGCAAAGAAGTTCTTTCCGGTCATGCACGGTGCCGTCTTCGCACTGGGAGTACGCGTCTTGATAGTGTTCCATCAGCTCATAGGCTGCCGTGGCCGGTAGGGACGAGAGGTGCATGTATCCGGCCATCGGTCTCGGGATTTCCGGTCCGACATAACGGACGGCATCGCAGATGGAAAGCTCAAGGAAATGGCACGAGCCTATCGTTCCCGGCTCCCTTCCGTACATTGAAAGCATATTGGGCGTTTCAAAAATCCCGACATCGAAACTCGCCCTCTTTGGCGCCGCGGTCCGTTTCCAACATTCTAGACGAACGGGCGTATTATCTCCTTGGATGACCCACCCATCGGGGAGAGGTAAATGGGCATGAAGCGTACATAACGTGAACGAGGCGTGGGCCAGCGGCCTCCTATCCCACAAGTTCTGGATGAACGGGTCGTGATCGTCGAGCGGGAATATCACCTGCAGATACCAGTGTCCATGTCTTCCCTTGTCGAGCAGAAACACGGGCGCGCCCGAGAAAAGAAACTCGGTATCTTCTCTCGCCAGCTCGGCCTCTCCAGACAACGACTTGTTGTATTTCTCATGCTGCGGTTTCGTTGCAGGTTCGGTGTCTTTCGTCTCGTCGGGTTTCCGATCGTCTTGCTTTGACGATTTGCTCGATGATTTCGATTTCGCCAGGGAGGTAGGTTTGTCGTTGGAGTGTGATTCGACCTACGTCAGGTCAGAATCCCTCTATTTTAATCTGTCCCCAACTGATGCCTTCTTCTTACCGGTACCAGGGTAGCAGCAGTATCGGAAGCAGCAGGTTGCGACGTCTCCCCATCCGGATGTCTTCGAAACAGCTCGTGAAGCATCCCCTGGCCCCGAGGCTCCGTACTATGCGGTCGCACATGCGGTTGCGAATTCCTTCTCCGAAGCGTAGTCGGCATCGCATCGTCGTGAGCCGGCGGCGCTCCGGAGATCGAATGTCTCCGACCGAAAAAGAACGACATTTTCTCTTGTTTGTTCCTTTCTATCTCTTATTCAGGGCAGTGTCGTATCGTAGCTATCGCTGTTTGTCAGTATAAACCGCACGTGCAATAGTCAACTAGCTCAAGATCACATAATAATTAATAGACACGAGATCGCTCGATATTCAAATCCGGGACGTAGACGTAGCTTAACTCCAGTTCCCTCTGTGTTTCCCTTTTCCTTTCTTTCCCTGCGGGGCTTCCCAGGTCACAGGTTCAGGTTCACTTACACACAGTAACTTAGGTTAAGGTCGGTAGGTTATGAAATGTAGGTTAGATGTACCTCACAAGCGCAGATCAATCGACGCCCCATTTACCCCCAAACCAGGGTTGAGTTGCTCCAGTTAGGCTAGGTTTGGATTAGGTCGATCAACTCAGCTCATCCATGTTTTTCTGTCGCTTTTTAAGTATGTTCTTTTCTATTTCCTTTTTTTTTTCTCCGGCGCGCCGTTATCTGTCACATGAAACTCTGAAACTCAGACGCAGAGCCCGGGGTCACTTATTTCTCAAGTACCGGGGATGAGATGATATGATATGATATGAGATGATATGAGATGATATATAACGGGGATGGAACCATGGAATCGGTCTGGACTCGATGACGTCGTTGGTGAGCGAGCGGTTGTCTCGGTACTTGGTTTCTTGCCTGATGGGGAGGGGGGTCAGCTGTTAATGAACTGTTACTTTACCTTTTGAGTAAGGGAGGTAAGGTAGGTGGTTAGTGGGGATTATGATTCTGCGTGGTTTTCCATTTTGGCTCTATTTTCTTATGGTCCTTTTTTATTCAGTTACCTGTTGTTATTGGATCGTCTCTTCTTTTCTTTTCTTTTGTACGGCGTGATCTTGGATGATGGATTATGCAGAAGATGAACATGCCATTTGGGTTACAGGTAGTTGATATCATGTACAAAGTAAGGTGATCGACCAACTGACTGATTCAGATCATGGCATGGCATGGCTGGCTATGGCATGATCTATCAAGGTAGGCAGGCAGGCAGGCTCCGGGCGGGGCGGGACTCGCTCGGCCGGTTCGGTTCTTAACCGGTTTTGATGTCTTCCTAGTAGTTAGTGACCACCTGGGTAGCAACTGTAGGGTGCAGTCACTTGCACTTCTATTTATTCCTACGGTGTATGATTCAGGCGGGGTGCTTGACTTCTACACTGGGTTGATTGTGTAGATAGGTAGAGGTAGGTGGTCTAGGGGTTTGATTACTTGCTTCAGTTTTTGGTTACTTTGTACTGGGATAGTGCATAGTAAGTAGCTAGCTATGGATACTAGACAGGTGTTCTGATAGGATTCTTCTCTACTATACTTCCCTACCTAGTGGTGTTATATATCTGCTTCGGGATATGTTTTCTCCGTAGCTCACTTATACCTAGGTATTGGTCGAGTCGAGTGACGATGGTAAAACCGCGAGAGACATTTCATGGGCGTGTATGTGCCAGACAGACATTTGATATCCTTAGATTGATTAGAGCTAACGAACCGTGAGTCATTACAATAACATAATTCATTACCTATCTACCTACTATTCAGACCTCGGAATCAGATAAGATTCAATCTGTCAGCGATAGAACAGAAATCGCACTTTTCAGACAGCAAACCGCCCACCTAAGCATGCTGGTGCAGGAAGTCCAATGCAGTGCGATATCCCCTCTCATACTCCTTCCGAACCTCGTCATTCTCCAAATCCGACCGTGCCGCCATCCACCCATGGATCTGGCTAGTGAACGTCTCCACATAGTGCGGCTTCGACAGATTATCCCCGAACGCCGTCACATCGGACGGATCCTCGTCCTTCGACGCCAGCAGCGCCATGGGCACATTCACGCTCTTGGCATCATCCGGTGCCAGCATGGCCGGATGGCACTGCACGGCGGCCTTGAACGTCTTGTTCTCCTGGCCGGTCGCCAGCACCGCGATCTTGCCGCCCCAGCAGTACCCGAGGATCGACCAGTCGAAGGGCTTCCCGGCGGGCGCGAGCTTGTTGGCCTCGTCGACGACGCCGGGGATCCGCGACAAAGTGGCGGGCGGGGCGGCCTTGGTCTGGAAGAAGTTGCCGAGCTTGGCCTTGTGGTCGTCGGTCTGGGGTGGGAACCAGGAGATGTCTGCGGGTTGGCCCTCGAAGAAGTCGGGGATGAAGACGCGGTATTTTTGCGTGTTGGCCGTCGAGAGGATGTCCGCGCCTTGGAGGGTTTGGGGGAAGAAGCCGAAGATATCTGCAGATTGGTCAGATGGTGGGTTGGATTCGAAGGAATTGGATACGAGGTACGAACCGTAGATGACGAGGATCGCCTTGGTGGCGTCTTCGGGGCCGGTGACGTCTAGAGGTCGGTTAGTCAATTCTCTTCTTGCATTTTGCCTGGTAAGACGGCTGATCGAGCGTACAAGTCTTCAAGCCATTGATGGTCTTGTATTCACCCTTGGCCTGGTAGTTCTTGGCCACGACGGGAGGGATGCTAGTCACATCAGTACAGAGATTATTCGGCAGATACAACAAGAACCTTACGAGCAGCAAGCCTTGCTAACACCAGACATGTTTGCGGATGAGCAATGGATTGGACGGAAACTGGGAATCGGACGTTGTTTGAGCGATGAGAGGAGGGACCTTCGGAGCGGGGCAGCCGAGGCAGAAGCGGAAGCTAGAAGCTGTTTGTAAATCATTAGTGCTGAGTCTTTGAGATGAAGAAACAATGAGAAAAGATGGGAAAGTAGAATAGACGCACAAGAGATAGAGATGTATGAGGGATCAATTGATAGGGAGGAGAAGAGGAGTAGAAGGAAAGAAGAAGGGCGACGAGAGAGAAAATTAAGTGAGGGAGGAAGCCCGGCAAAGCTCAACCCCGCCGTCGACGTCATTTCGGCAAAGTGCACTCTTCCCGAGCTGATGATGTAAGCCATACATAGCCATCGTTCATTGTAGAAAGAGAGTATGTATTCTCGAGTGAAATCACACTGACTGCGTACTGTGCTCGTTAAATTAATCTGTAGCTGTATAATACATCTTAAGACGGGAAAATATATGGCTTTTAGTTCACCTGAAACCAGATAGTTCTTATAGTTTGACGAAGGAGAAGAAGCTATGTTAAGTGATATGTTAAGGACTACATTGGAGTCTTAATGTCACGGAGTAAATATATGCAGACCAATAGCCGAGGGGCAAGAATGTTGATCAAGCTATCGGCCGTATGCACAAAGGTGAAGTGGCTTACCGCCCACTGGTAACCTGCTACCTCTTCCAACAGAAGGTCTCTGAAACATAAACTTGGGTAGGCACAAGGCACAACTATCTCTCATTCCCATTTCGAGATGTATGCTTGCCATCGCCCTCCTGCGAAATTAACGCGGACTATCTCTTCAATCAATTATTCCCGGCGTGTTTCTCGACCCATGTCTTCTTCCTTCATCCAAGAAGAGAATCAAACCCCGAATTATGATCCTAGGAGATATTATCCTGCTCACGTTGGAGAGACCTTATCCAGCCGATATCGCATCCTCTCAAAGCTCGGCTGGGGAGCCAATTCTACTGTCTGGCTAGCAAAAGACACAAGTCGGTCAGTTCGCCCATCCCTTGACACCTGCCTTAGTAACACTGTAAAGTTGGGCGTGGCAGTCAAGCCGATATGTGACGTTAAAAATTACAAACTGTGGTAAAGAAGAACAAAGGTCTGCGAAAGAGGAAGTAGATATGTCGCGACACATCTCCCAGCTGCAGTCGAATCATGAAGGTCGGGCATATGTTCGGCTTGTGCGTGACTCCTTTAGTATCCGAGGCGCGATGGGAGAGCACTTATGCTTGGTATTTGAACCGTTAAGGGAACCGCTCTGGCTTTTGGGGAGGCACCTTGGAAGCAACGGTGTGCCTCCCGCCGTCCTCAAGCCATTCTTGAAAGTATTGCTCCAGGGCCTTGATTTTCTCCATTCTGAGTGCCATATTATACATACAGGTAGGCTCCTTCTAAATTGTTCACTACTTAATCATCTTCTCTGACCATAGCGAAGATCTAAAAGCAGATAACTTTCTTTTGGGATTCGAAGACTTTGATGTTTTAAAGAGTTATGCCCGCCAACAAGAAAGCAACCCTGCTCCGTTTTGGGATGGCGATGGTCGTCCAGTATTCCAGTCTCGTCCAGATTTCGGGCATCTGAGGAAAGGAGTAGGACTGGTTCAGATCAGCGACTTCAGTGCTGCTGTTTTTGGCAACGTTCCTGAGCCTCATAACCATGATATCCAACCTCAGCCCTTTTGTGCGCCAGAAGTCCTCTTGAAGGCGACATGGACATATAGTGCAGATATATGGAACTTGGGCACCATGGTACGGCCCTGAGGAAGATACTCGCACAAGTCACTGACCTCTTGGCCCCGTGAAGTTGTGGGAGCTCCTTGCAGATCGTGTTCTTTTTGATGGGCTGGACACCGGGAGCAGCACGTATTCCCGAGCAAAACACATAGCCCAAATGATACGGCTACTTGGTCCGCCTCCGCTGCAGCTACTGGAAAGGGCAGATCAAGGCATTTGCTCCGAACTGTTCTCTAGCCATGGTATGATGTCCGCCACTTGTATATCTCCGGTGATAACTAAGGGTTCGTTTAGGAGAGTTCACATTGGCAGGTTTAATACCGTCTGAAGAGTATAACCTTTCAAACCTTACACCATTTGTCCACGGGGAAGACAAAAGACTTTTTCTGGAATTCGTGGGCAGAATGCTGCGCTGGGAGCCAAAAGATCGGGCAACGGCTAAAGAGCTGTTTAATGACCCCTGGCTGAGCTTCAAGCCTTGATTCGGGGGATATAAATTAGCTACATCTGTTATTCTTGTACTTGATTTATTCATGCAATAACAGATTGCCCAGGGGAAATACGTTGTCTCCGTGTTGTGTGTTCTGAGGATGAACGACATCTTGTCTGATCATCTTCATAGCTCAGTCGCGCGTAAGCAAGTGAATGACCCAGAATAAATGAATTTAGCTAGTTGATCATGGAGGTTACGATGTTTGCCCAGGAAGATGAGGTCCTTTCAGTGTGAGTAAACACCTAAATTGTTGGCGTACTGACTCAGGCATTCAACATTCCCCCATGCAACACTGGAGACCTCGTTCTTCCTCCATCTATCAACCACTGGGACAGCTCTTTCTTTCTGGTTTGCAGATCCAGATATTTGGTGTTTTTTCATTTATTGCGAATTGCCGTGACTGTCACCTGAAATCTAGAACTTCCACCACTCAATGTACTAACTCTCGTCCTATCTGAGCATCAACAAACCTGAAACAAACAATACTAGGTTATTTCAACAAGGACCAGGTCGCAGAAAATAAGTATCCAAAACTATAGCTCGACTTTAGCTTCTATATACTCGGCAGTTCCTCGCCCTAAATAAATTGGCCAGAAACCCAGATACCGCAAGCACGTCTTACCTCCACCTCCTGACACCATGCTTAGCTGCAGAAAGTCCCGTCTTCAACCCTGCCGAATCTTATCCATCCATCCATCCTTGCTCGGGGATCTTCCGTTGGAATGATTTGTTCTTTACTATTTGTTCATATTTGACAGAGATAGGCATTTCCACGAGCCCCTCTTCTCTCCTCTCCCCTCGGCAGCATGGCCGTCACTGACGGGTGCTAATTGTCACGCAATCACGAGCTGCGTTGACATCTTTGCCGTAGGATTTAAAGGATAATGTTTTCGCTACTGATATCCTCCATAATGCAGCAAAGACTGGTGTTAATTGATTGAGTTCCGATTGAAACCCAATCGCAGTCGGAATGGACACCGTACAGTCGCGTCGCAAATGGTGGCGCGTCCAGTGGTTCGCGGACCAGGACACGAAGGAAGAACGGAAGTTGATCCTGAAACTGGACTTGTTGATCGTGCCGTATGCTTTTCTGGCCTATTGGACGAAGTATATCGATCAGGCGAATATTAGTACGCTCCTCACCCTTGTTCAATGCCATCTGGTTTGTCCCAGCTAACCATACTGAATAGATAATGCCTACGTCTCCGGTCTCCAGGAAGACATCGGCCTGCAGGGCAACGAGCTCGTTCATCTCCAAACTATCTATACGGTCGGCGCTGTGGTCGGTCAGATTCCCTTTGCGTATCTGTTCACGAAGTTTCCCATGTCGTGGCTCATTCCAGCTTTGGATATCTGCTGGGGCATTTTCACTCTGTTGCAGTATCGGGTGACTGGGTATGGGGAGTTGATGGCATACAGGTTTTTGGTGGGTTGGTTTGAGGTGTGTCTCTCTTCTTCTACATTCTATTATCAAATTTGGTGCCCTTACTTCTAGACGACGGCTACTGATGTGCTGAATGACAGGCTGCCTTCTTTCCCGGAATGCATTATATATTCGGTATCTCTCCCCATACCCACTCTGTTACCAGCAGTACTAACCCAAACAGGAGCCTGGTATCGAGGCGACGAGATTGCCCGTCGAGGCGGCTGTTTCTACGTCGGTCTCACCCTGGGCACCCTAACAGCCAGTCTCATCCAAGCCGGCACATCAGCACGCCTAGACGGCGTACACGGCCTCGCCGGCTGGCGCTGGATGTACATCATCTGCGCCATCATCACCATTCCCATCGGCATCCTCGGCTACTTCATCCTCCCCGGCACGCCCGACAAGCCGAACCGTATCGTCATCAACGACACCGACCTCGCCCTATCCAAGACCCGCCTCCACCGCGCCGGCCACCACTTCTCCGGCCGCTTCACCTGGTCCACCATCACCTCCGTGCTCTCCAACTGGCGCTTCTGGGCCCTTCTCCTCCTTGATGTCTTCTTCTGGAACGCGTGTCTGAACACCAACGCCGGCGGGTACCTCCTGTGGCTGAAGTCCCTCGACCGGTTCTCCACGAGCCGTCTGAATGAACTCGCCGCTGTCTCTCCTGCCCTGGGTATCTTTTATACCCTGTTTATCTGCTTCGCATCGGACCTGCTCTTCAGCCCTGCCTGGGCCATCACCGTCGCGCATGTCTGGAACGCCATCGGCTTGGTTATCTTGGTGGTTTGGAACGTACGGGAGTCGGCGCTGTGGTTCGGTTTCTTGACTACCTACTCGGCCGTCGCCATGTCAAGCGTGCTGTATGGTTGGGTGAATACGCTGCTGAGGTATTCGCCCGTTGAGCGTGCCGTTACGCTCGTGGCCATCAATACCATCGCACAGTCAACCACCGTCTGGACTCAGCTGCTGGTGTTCAAGACCGTTGAGGCACCCCGCTTCGCGAAAGGATATTCGTTTGTGTTGGCGAATGCGGTGTGTTTGATTGCGACGGCGCATGCGATTCAGTTCTTTATTCGGAGGTAGGCTTTCCTATTCCATTACCCTCTTTTTCTCGTACCGAACTGGCTCGGGGCAAGGTTCGATGCTGGTATACCAGTTATTTGCATGTGATAAGAAAAGTCAGGGCTAACATCATCACAAACAGGAGAAAACAACCCCCCTCAACAACAACATCGACGAGCGAAGCGAGCGAGACGGGAGAAGAAGAGTCTGTGATGCAGGTTGCACAGTCGAGTACTAAAGACTAGCCTCCGAACAGTGAATATCGATATTTAGTGACGAGAGGGCCGGAAACAAAAGGACTTGCTTCATATCCATTGATCCTGAAGTATGGAAATGTCTGGATGGAGCTAGCTAGTCTCCTTAGATGACCGATGTCCTTGAGGCCCTCAATGCAGATCTCCAGAGCGAACAATGACCCTCCGATGTCCTATTCGATATTGAAGATCCAGCCCACTGCAGATAAGGCTGTCTTGAACAATCCTTGAGTAGATCTAGATTGATTAGTCTGGTTTGGTTCGACATGGCAGGGACCAGAGCATGGATGGGTGATATCACAGTGGTTTGTTTCTTCTGACCCACCTACGCAAAGCCAGCCAAAATGATAAAAAGCACTCCTTGAGAAGCTAAATCAATAGAATGGTTCAACTCGTTCGGTTCAAATGGTTGCTTAAATCGTCAAGTACACGCAAGGTTGTCTCGAGACATGACAAAAGGCCTTCGTTGATAGAATATCCGATAGTATTGCAGTATTCTCGAAGTCTAGATTCACTAGAGACCATTCATTCCATTCCCTCTCATCACAGACTAAGACACACCCCAACTTTCCGCAAGCGCTGGCTGCCCCCAATCTCTCATCCACGCTGAATGCAACCCATCATTCGCCGACGCTCGTTCCCCAGGCCGAAAAGTAAGCATTGAGCGAACCATCGCCTCAAACGCCCTCCTCTCGCTCTCCGTCACCTGCTCCATACCCGCCTCAGCCCTCGGCGCCTGTATCCAGCCCTCGAACCTCACATCCCAAGGCCTGCGCACGCCATCGTGCCCTCCACCCCTCGACTTCGAACCCCACCCCCCCTCCTCCTCGTCAAACCAGTCCACCCTCCTATCCCATTTCTCCCACCATTCGCAAGGCAGCAGACCAAGCGTCTCGACCTGCTCCGCGGTGACACGGTCCGCGGTGGGACGAAACGCCTCGAATAACGGTCTCTGGCCGAACACTTCCCAGATCGTACACGCGAGCGTCCAGATGTCGGAGGGGAAGGAGAGCGGGGCGTGTGAGAAGCGCGCCTCCGGGGGCTGTAGGAGCGGTAGGGTTTTGGAGGCAAACCGCGGTGTTTGGTGGGGGTTGAATGATTCGCCGAAGTCGCTGAGGACGATGCGTTCTTGGCCCAGGGGGATTTCGGTGCTGGGGATGCCGTACCATCCGGGTGTGAAGACTTGGGTGGGGACACTGGGTGAGAGGGGCGTGTTGTCGAGGCGAATGATGGCTTCGGGCTCTGGATTTCCGTAATTTTCGTATAGCTCTGACGGGGGATATGAGTCGATTGACTCAGGGAATTGGACAAGGATGTTACCCAGGTGGAGGTCTTGGGTGGTATGAAGGTCAGTCAGTTAGGTAAACAGATACCGGACTTCATATCTGGACATCTACATACCGCCATGCACAACATCTTCACTATGCAAGAAGGCCACCCCCCGAATAAGCTGGGCGATAATCGACCGCGCCACCGTCGGCTGAAAAAGACCAAACGTCGAGGCCTCTTTCGCATCAAACAGACTCATCTGCGCGGGCGGGGTGACAATGCACCTATGTTTCCCGTTGGGACCGATAACCCAGAATTCGTCGATGAGGGCGGGGATGATCTCGCTACCTGGCCTAGACGGCGAGGCTCCGAGGGAATGTATAAGAGCCGCCTCAGATGAGCATGGGCTGGTTTCGGCGGTGAGGACTTTCACTGCTACGTACTTGGCTCTGTGGAGGTCGCGCGCCAGCCATATAGTCGAGTAACCTCCGTAGCCGAGCTTGTCGACTAGTCGATATCGACCATTATTCAAGGCGTCTCCTATTGTCAGAGGGTGGTATCCTCCGGGACGGTATCTGTCTAAGTCTTCCACGTATTCGATGAGTTTGTACTGGGTCTTGTCAGGTCTTGTGGGCGGTTGTCGCGATGTATCGAGGCTTATACCAGGTCGTTTGAGGGAGATGCAGGTGGACATTAACCGCGTCTTTCGGGTATGAGACTGGTTCGTGACAAAGCTGCATAGTAATCTATGACATCTTCTAGTATCTAAATAAAAGCGCACGAGCATTTGAGAGGGTAAGTGCTTTCAATGATCTAGTGGTGGGCATTAATGGCGTCTATCAGGCACTGGTTCAAGGGGTTTGGATGCACGTGGAAACGTTCACCTGCAAAGCAGAGTAGCGAGCCGATCGCGCGTCTACGGTATGTTTGACCAATCAGTCTTGTCCTCACCCAAACAGTACTACTACTACTCTAAGTATATACAGTCTTTTCAATTGTTCTACTGTCGCATGTACATCTGTTGACTTCTAGAACTCTAGATATATGTTCATTACGACGGACTTGGTATCAATCAACCAGTCAGCTAAACAAACAAGCAATCGAATATTAGTAGCTTGATTGACAGTCCTGATAAGCATTGGGGACCTGAAAGTTTGGCATCTGAAAATATAAGAGACACCGGAGTCTCGCTTTCTCATGTTTGGCATCTTAGCTAAGGAGAACACTTTCTTGTTCCTAGTAACCAGAGTTCGAATGCTAGTACAGTATCTATCTAGGCTGATCAATGATCAAGAACACATTACTATGTTTAGATGTCAAAGTAATAAAAAAATAAGAAAAGTATCGAGTTCAATAGAGAGAACCCTTCATAGTTGTGCTACATGTCCGACTATGCGGAGTAGACTACTGGTCAAACCCCCTGCAGCACGCAATCCACTCCCCAATGATGACATTCGTCTCCGCACCTCCAACCACCAAGCATCGGTTAGATGTCCGTATACCCCTCGATACTTACATAGCAAATAAGATCCAAGAAATATTGACGATTAGAGCGGAGACGATGACGAATAACTCACTATTTGTGCCTCTACTTACCCGTCTGGTTGCATGTCTGCTTGTCGCCGGGTATCGGCATCCTACCAAGTTATCTACGATCGTCAAACAATAATAAAACGCTGCATGTCAGTATCTCACGCGATGATAATGCACAATGGCGATATGTGGGGCCTTTCATGCTGCGAGGGGTCTGCATCAGATAAGAAGAGGGGGACGGACGGGCGATTGGATTGTGAACTGCTCAAGTCAAGTGAGTTGAAGCGTTCCTGAATTGTCATCATGGGAGATAGCACCGCAGCCGGCCAAGATGGCCTTAATGGGAAGAAGCAGATTCTGCTGAATGCATTTGATATGTCCACGGTGGGGCATTTGTCGCCGGGTCAGTGGAAGGTGAGTTCATCACCCAGAAACAATAGAGTGTGAAAGAAGGTGAGCTGAGCGTTGCAGAACCCAGTGGATAAATCGGCCACGAAGCGGAAGCTGGACTACTGGATCGAGCTGGCCAAGCTGCTCGAACGCGGCGGTATTAATGCCTTGTTCCTGGCGGATACGTACGGCGGATATGACACGTACGAGGGCAAGCTGGATGAATGCATTCGACGTGCTGCGCAGTGGCCTGTCACTGATCCGACTATTGTATGTTGCGCGAACTCGGAATGGATGGGCCCAAAGAACTGACTCGAGATAGCCAATCTCGGCTATGGCTGCCGTGACCAAGAACCTGGTGTTCGGCATCACGGCCTCCACCTCGTTTGAGCCGCCGTTCCTACTTGCCAAACGCTTCTCCACGTTGGATCATCTGACGGATGGACGGATCGGTTGGAACATCGTCACCTCGTGGAAGAAAGCGGCCTTCAAGGCTATCGGGCTGGACACGCCAATCGAGCACGACGAGCGTTATCGCCAGGCCGACGAATATCTGCGCGTGCTGTACAAGTAGGTCGAGCCCCAATGGGCTTCATAAGCATGATTCGCTGATATCTGCCCTCAGGCTCTGGGAAGGATCCTGGGCCCCCGATGCCGTCTCACCGAACCCGGAAACCGACACCTACGTGGACCCCGAGAAGGTGCGCCAGATCAACCACAAGGGGAAATACTTCTCCCTCAACACCCGGCACATCGTGGACCCGTCGCCGCAGCGCACGCCGTTCCTGTTCCAAGCGGGCACCTCCGCCGCCGGGTCGGCCTTCGCGGCGAACCACGCCGAAGCCATCTTCGTGTCGAGCCACTCCCCGGCGGTGCTGCGGCCGAAGATCGACAACATCCGCAAGCTGGCAGCCGAGCAGGGCCGCGACCCGCGGTCCATCAAGTTCTTCGCGACCTTCACGCCCATCATCGGTCGCACGGACGAAGAGGCACGGGCCAAGTACGAGGAGCTAAAGAAGCACGCGTCGGTGGTCGGCGGCCTGGTCCTGTTCAGCGGCTGGACCGGGATCGATATCTCGCGCATTCCCATCGATCAGGACATCACGGCGGCGGACTCGCTCGAGGCGCACAAGGTCACCAGCATCCTGGACTCGTTCACCACGACCAGCGAGGACATCCCCAAGTGGACGCCGCGCGTGGTGGCCGAGAAGGCGGCGATCGGCGGCCTCGGACCTGTCGCTATCGGCAGCCCGGCGCGCGTGGCGGACGAGCTGGAGCGGTGGATCCGCGAGGCCGACGTGGACGGGTTCAATTTGGGGTATGTCACGACGCCGGGAACGTTCGAGGAGGTGGTGGACCTGTTGATCCCGGAGCTGCGACGGCGTGGCGTGTATCCCGAGTTGTCGGAGCAGGAGGACGGGCTGACGGCGCGCGAGAAGGTCTACGGGAAGGGACAGAGGGAATTGCGGGCGGATCATCCGGGCAGCGGATATAAGTATGATGTTTATCAAGAAGAGCCTCCGTACGAGGGGGAAGAGTCTGCGCCTGCTGCATCTTAACTAGTTAGCGCTCATGGAAAGAAGGGCAAAAGACGAGATGACAATCAAGGCCAGCGACCGAAGAACAAGTGGCATCCTTTCCTACCTCGTATACCCATCCAGTAACCCACTCCCCAGTATACTGGAGTACTGCGAGTGAAAGCCAAAGAGATGAGGTTATCATAAGCAGAATAAACTACAGACGATAAGCCACCACAACGCCTTTGCCTTGCGGTCCCGTCGTGGACTTGCCGGGTTCTTCTGCCCCCCCCTTGGCTGGCGATTTCGATCTAGTCCCTTCTGCTGTCTCCTCAGTCTAGACCGGTCTCTGCAGAATGCCCCATCAGAGCCATCTCGTGACTCGAGCGAACATTCTTGCCAGGAGACTAGGCGGTTTTGGGCGGGGTTTGGAAGAGATCGATCCAGAACTCCTTGCCTTTTTTTTTTCTGAATTTATTTTTTTTATCTGTCGTTATTTGATTTTATTTTCGCATCTATTACTGGAGAAGTGTGTGTGCGTGTGTGTCTAACCTAGGTACAGCCGGTATCTACCCTCCGTATCCCGTACGGTATGAGAACTTAGAAAGACAAAAGATCTAGAACGAGGCTGAGAGAAAACCAAAAGGAAATAGTAATAAATCAAATAAAGACACAGATAAGACAGAAATAAAATAAAAAAAACCAGCAGCATAATACCCACTAATCAAAGGACAGAAAAAGAAAAAAGGACAAGGAAAAGGAAAAGGAGAATCAAATCCCTGCTCCCCCGCTAATCCTGTCCGGGAGCATCATGGGATTTGCTCAACCACTCTTGGCCAGGAAGAGTTAACACTGGGTCCACCGGGACTGTAGCATAATTTCTGATGTACAGTAGCCGCGCTTTTAGTCGATATTAGCTCGTCGCGTTGAGTCGTGAGTCGTGGCGGTCTGACATTCTGTCTGACTGACTGACTACTGAAGTTTTGTCGGAAGGACGGACATACGGTTCGTTAGGATAATGGGGTTGCTAAGTAACTAGTCAGAAGTACTAGACAAGTACCTGCCAGGTATCGCTCCGGGGATGTCGAGACCATATTCCGAATTCGTATTCTCGATAGGAATAACTATCATCTATCAACTATTAACGACTCTGCTAAGATAAGTAGGAAACTACTCTCAATGCTGTACTCGGTGCATAGCATACATACTATATATAAATAATTATTACTGTATAATATTCTACCCAAGTCCAACCCCAATAGACTGCGTAGCACGGAACCCCCCACCTCCGGCCTGCAACGGAACAAACATCTGATTTCAGTCGAGCCCAACTGCATTGAATCCCAAAATTGACCTGTCGACCCTGGTAGGGTCAAAAGCAGGCAGGTACATGGCCGGTACTTCTTCCTTTTCCCCCCTCCCCCTTCCCCTTTCCCCGGACCCAATGCATATGCCACGGTTGGTTTTTTTTTATCCTCCTCTGTACAGTAATTATTTGTTTTATCTTTCTGGCCACGCCGATACTTCGACACAAGCAAACGGACGGGGCGACCTCTGATGCAGAAGATCGACCCAGTTGGTCCAGTGGGATGGGTCCCGACGCGAGGAGAATGCACCTGCAGGTTCAGATGGTCGAGAATGAACTATTTATCTACAGGTGGTTGAGTCGAGATTTCCATCGGTCGCATGTAGGTTTACTACTGTGTAGGTGACTGGATAAGGTAACTAACGGAGTTGTTGGTGGTCGATGCGTGGTTATCTATCTACCGGTATCACCTGGCTTCACCCCTATTTATTCTTCTGGCTGGAGTGTTTCAGTATACGGAGGACAGTGCATGGTGCATTACATACTCTACATAGGCGTGCATAAGTGGGAAAACCCTCTCAGTTAGTCGGCTCCTCCGGGCGTCCCCAGACTTTTCTCTCTCGCTGTAGGTAGGTGTAAGTGTAGCCGGGGTGGGAATAGTGGCAAAGGAACCGACTCAAAAACTAACTCATTAATCAATCAATCTACTGTACATTTTCCCCCCCTACTACGGAGTAACTTCCCTCTAACTACTACCGGCGTTAGTTATCCAACCTCGGAGTTCAGGGGACGAATAGCGTCGGTGCATAAGCGGTCAGGTCGTATCCACTACCCTTCGTTCCCTCCTGCATGGCCGATGACCCCGGCTACCTTAGGTCGATTTTACCAAATCAGAATGATACTCTGTACGGAGCATGTACCGTAGATGGACTTAGACTTGCGGGAGGAATCCTACAGTTACTTTGATCACTTTTTCTACAGTAGTTAGCAGTGCTACCAAAATTTACGTACTTGTTAGTCGGGGTCTGTCTTGTCTTGGGCAGCTCAGATGTTCTTGATTGTCTATTCCAGTGGTCGGGCTAGACTAGCAAACAAGTACTGAACAACTAGTCGGGGCTAGCACCGTGGCAAAACAGCATTTTCCACAACGGTCGCTGATAGGGTTGACTAACTATGTAGTAAATAACTGTTTCTGTTCTGTACTGGAGAGAGGGGATGAATAGGATGAATAGGGACGGGAGGGTGAGGGAATTGGGATGGAAAGTCTAAACCGGTACTCCTGCATTGGCTGGAATGCTATCTACACCCCGGACTACGGAGTACATACATAGCTACCTATTTGATTTCGCGGCCTAGAGTGGTCGAGCACATTTTCAACTCAAATTCTTCGTTAAGAAGTACATAGTTAGTCGAGTAGTTGCGGTAGGTAGACTGGGATGCGAGGCTGAAATCAACAAACTATCTAGAATCTAGTATCTAACAGCCAACAGCTACAGAGTCGTACTAACATCTACTCCATCCTAATCCACATCCTCAGCCTGTTCACCGTGTGGCCGCCACCCCGATCTCCGGCGCACCGACAGGCCGGTGCTGTCCGCCGCCGCTCAGGAAGTCTAAAGCGGTGGACCGTTTTTGGCACCTTTGGGCTGAGCCTGTGAGTTATGGACAAGCTTGGCTCTCTTCCCCCTTCCATGTGAGTGGTCTGTTTCCATCTTGGGCGGACGCGCGATCACTGGTCCGCGGGGTCGGTGGCCATACCATACAAACTACTTTCCGTAACTCCAGGCTTCCTTACCTTACCAACCTAGGGTACTGGGACGGTAGAGAACTAAGGTACGGAGTATGAGTGAAGATAACCAGTACCAGGGCTTTACCTCCGATGATAGACGAGAGTTTCAGCCAATGGACGGGCCGTTCTGGGAGAGCGGGGACCAATGGAAGGTTCTGGATGGGTGGGTCGCCATGGGAATCGAATCTGACGGGATTCTCTTGCAGTCTTGCTCTGGTGTTGTTGTTAATAATGTCAATCGTTATTCCGCAAGTCTTTCCTTCCAATAGTTCCCAACCCGAACTACAGTACGGAGTACGGACCAACTAGTGAGATCCTTGGGTTGGGCGTTAAGCTGTTAGTTAGTTATGTGCAGCTCGTACGAGTCGCTAAACACTGAGTATGTACGGTACTCGCGGGGGTTTGATTTTCGGTGAATGAGCTGGGTTTGTCCATGACAGCTCTAGCTAGCTATCGTATAGGTCTCCACTTTCAATTAGACATTTCCCAAGAAATTCAGGGGGATGAGAGTAGAGAGAGTCAGTGAGAGAGTAGAAATGTGGATAAGGAAGAACCAGAGACTGAGGGAGAGAAAAAGGAAAAAATCCCGATCATGAGTCAAAGAAAGAACCCCCTCCCTTTTCCCAGCAAAAGGTCAATGGAAGCTGACCGAGAGATGCAGGCAGACCAGCCGGGTAAGTCCAAGTGGGGCCCGCCAGTCGTTTTCTCGGCTCTAGCCCCGATCCGGCTCTAGCGTTGGGAATGGGAACAACGGGCACCCAACCAAACGACGCGGCTATAATAACAAAAGAAAAAAAAAAAAAAAAACACGACCGCCGCGCAGGGATCTGGGAAACTTAAACCAGCTCTAGTCCCTGTGGTTCCGAGGGTCTCTCGCTTGCATCTACCCGGCGGGGAATAATGGGAAAATATTGACGAGCAAAAGGGAGTGTCTCTCGTATTTTGTTTGGCCTTACTTTATCCATTCTTTAAATTGATGTTGGGTCGGTGACCTCGATCTGACCGGAAGGATCAAAAGGAACGATGCGAAAGAAAGCAAAACAATCACGACGGCAGAGCAGGTGACCAGATCTTGCATTGGGGAGGGGGGTGTGAGAAAGGAGAGGAATGAGCTGGAAGGGACCACCGACCGGGTAAACCAGGGACCGTTTGCCTGAAGACGAGGAATGGTTCTTTCATTTGATTGAGGGGGAAGTGTCTGTGCGAGAGGGGAAGTCAGTCAGTCAGTCAGTCACTGGAAAATACGAGGGGGCAAGTAAACCCGATTAGTATTATTGTTTACTCGAGCAGAGTCTTCGTAATGCCTCCTCCCAACGGCTGAGGAGCAAGTGGATTTTTGATTCCTCCCCATATGACCATGCTCTGATTAACAATAAGGTGTGGTGAATTAAGATTGATGGCGGTTTTATCAGACCCCGTCAGCGCGACAAATCGCAGGATCCAACCATAGTCAAGGGACCGGGTCTGGCGCAGAAGGTCGGGAGGGAAAAAGCCATTCATACTCTTAAGTTCTCGAATCCATAATATATTATTCATCACTCCGCAATCAACTGCCTCACTGCAATGGTTCTCAACGGATGGCGGCGGCGGTGGTTGCAGTACTCGGTCCCTGGGTAGGAGTACCTTAACCCGATGGTCTATGCTCCAGAGTATGGCTGATAGTCGACGATGGAGACATTTCCTCCAACCGATCGGTGATTCCAATGGTTCTGGATCCTATCGATTGATGCCTCACAACATCCCGTCCCTCCCTCCATTCCCCATCTGTCATGCATTCCCCGACGCAAGGGAGCATCAACGCTTTCTGCTCTGCCCCTTTTTTTTCTGGGTCTATCTGTCTGTCTAGAACACCCACCCACTTGTGACATTTCGTTTATTCCTGATTTTATTTCATTCTGTCCGTATTCTCCTGTCCTTTTTTGGTTTCGGGGAAATGCAAGCCGGTATGGTAGTTGTTCTGGTTGAATCTGGTATTTTTGTACCGCTGCATAAACACGAGGATGTCGGTCTTGTTTTGATTTGGATTTTCCTCCTTCTAGGCCCTCCTGAAAGAGAAAACAAAAAAAGTACAGCACTCCTGCTACAACTCCAGATCCGTCGATCCAAACCTCTGATCCCTCCTAGACGCAGAATCGATCGTCCACCACTTGCTAAGCTTATTCTTTGCTCCACCATACAGGGAAAGCACTCAGCAGTGTTCCCTGCTGGGTCGGGGTGGCCGATCGTCCAGAATGCGCTCCACATGTCTATCCCCCCTAGCCTCAATTGCCCTGTAGAATTGCTTTTTCTTCTGCTCTCTCACTTCGTTTCGTCTGCATGGAGAGTTTTTTGTTCTTGATACTTTGGATCCTACGGAGTGTCAAGCATCAACCCTTTTGACTCTGTACTATGCTCCTGATCGACCTGGCAAGAAAGTCTTGAAGTCATCATGTTACCAAAAAAGAAAGAGATGTCGAGATAGAATTCCAGGATGGTTCCGGTTCATCAGGAGACCATGCTGTCCATGCAGCTGATTATTGGCAAGATTATTGTCATGGATGACCGATATAAGAACACGGGGGACATAAAATTAAAAACTCAAGAGAAGAGGATCCCGAGATATCTCGCAATCCTGTCAATGAAGGAGACGGAGTATGCTTGATCCGGTCACCGTTCCATCCCGCTAGAAGAATAAGCTGGACCTTGACCGTGGGTGCGGCCGAAAGGTGGGAACGCGCTGGGACTTGGGCCTTTGGCGAGCCCTGTCAACCACGTTGCCGTTGATCAGTCCGTCTGGTGTTGTGGACTGAGCTGTTTTTTCTCCTGAGAATGGAAATTAATATATTCTTGTCGATTCCTCTGTCGTCCCCTCCCCTAGGTACTATTGCCATATGGGGAAGATGGAGAGTCTATCGGAGGCGAGGCTATAAATACATATCGGCTCTGTGATAATAATAATAATTAATTTTCATGATAATCCCGTTTATTTGGATTTGTTCCACCTGATTGATCCATCATCTTTTGCCTCTTCCTGATTGATTTGGGATTCTACTCCGTACAGATCGCGGATTCTTAATACTGTCGGCACCTCTTTTCCTCGAGTTTGACATCGTCCGTTTGACTACGCCGTCCTTTCCTGCTGATTATTCTTCTTCTTCCTCGGTTCCCTTGGGTGCCGTGACTATTTGTTTTCCCTGGAAATTCGCCATGGGTTAATCCCAGGGAATTTCGAAGAAAAATATTTTGTTGAAATCTGGTTGGTCCGACTGCCCATTCTTCTTGACTAGATCCCGACTAGCTCCTGGACTCTCTTGTCTGGCTGGGGGTGTGCGTCTGTTTTTTTTTTATTTTCTTTTTTTTGTCTTTCTTTCTTCCTTTTTTTTTTGTTCTGCTTTTATTTTTCTCCCTCCCTCTGGTAAGTCTTCTTATTTATTTTATTTATTTTCATTTCCATTTCCCTTTCATTTCTCGAATTTTAATTATTAGTTGACTGAATTTTCTACATTCGTTCTAGCTCCATATTCGCAGTCATTCTATTTTATTTTATTTTCCTTACCCTTGGTATTTTACTCCCACATCCGACCACGACTCTCAACCCCCGCGCTGGCCAGACCCAGCGGTGGACTGGTCTGGATACGTCTCCATTCCCGGCTGGTTTTGGTTTTTTGGCCCTTCAGTCGCCTCAATCCATCATTGACTGCCTGATACTCCCGGCCTATACAAATATCCATACACGTTAAGGGAAAAATAAAAATATAAGACAAAAAAAATAAAATTGACCTAATAATCCCACACTTATTCGCTCCGGCGCCTTTCTTTTCTCTCGATCTTGTCACCGCAACCACCACATCTTATTTTGCTTCTGCCTCTCACTCTTCCCTTGGCTATCTATCTATCTATCTTCTATCTGTTCATCGAACCTACCTTGTTTCTCTTTCCCTTCTGCCCTCTTTGCTATCACCCTCGCCATCATCATCCATCGCTGAATCGCGCCCCAGGACTGATCTTGTATCCACTCTTGTTTCGGCAGTCATCAATTGGTCTGGTTGAGTGTCCGCTTTGTTGTTGTGGTTCTCTACTTGGTGGTTCTCTTGTACGGTCGGGTCGGTCTGTTGAACAGAGAAATGTCATCGCTCTAATCTGCGCATATCAAACCTTGATCTCGTCATTCCTTGGTTGGGTCCATCATTTCGCCGTTATTCGTTTTGTACATCGCCTGGGATATGTCACCCGACTGACAGAACAAACAAAGAAAGCCTCGTTTGACATCCGGATCTCGAGGAAAGGCACGACTGCTGCACTTGCCACATCGAAGACGATTGATTTGCAATATCCAAGGGTCCCGCGGAGTGATCGACTGATCAGAAGAACGAAATCCTCCTTCAGCACTCTTTCCTTCCTTCTCGCCTGCATCCGACCTAGCATCATCTCTCTCCTCTCCCCTATCCATCTCCTCTACCTCCCTCCCCCGCTAGATCGCTCTTATCGCGATCATTGCCCCTCCTGGATCCTCCAGACATCACTGGGGGCCTGTCTGGCAATCGATACTGGACGCTGGGCGGCGACACCGTCACTTTTCCCACCGGGCAACTCGCAACTACTCTGACCTCCCCGCCACCTGTGGAAGCGGGCGATCTCTTTCAACCTTTAGCATTTTCGCGCGATACCTCAGTCACGCTGGCGGCCCTTGCGATTCCTCCCTCTGGCATGGGGACGGCGCTCGATGCGCTGACCACCCCTCAGCCGCCATTGAACACGCGCAGACCTGCCGCTTCATCTCTCCCCAACTTTGAACTTCCGCCTCCAAACTTCCACATTGCAACGACCGGGTTGAGACTCCCTACACATCCCTCGAATCCTCATCATCCTCCTACCAATCCCAGTGTCAGCAACCTCCTCACACCACCGGCATCCACGCAATCGGTTGACACGCCAGCTCCGACGACCACATCCACGTTACCTACTACAGCGACGGCGACGACGGCAACTGCAGCATCGACCACCGTCTCAGCTTCCCCGGATTTGGTTTCGACGTATGCGCCGAGCTACTGGCAAAGTCAGAGCTCATACGGAGCTGCTTCATCCACACCGCGGCAGTCGTGGAACAATCCTTTATACCCGACTCGAGACACCTTCTCCCCATCCTTGAATCCTCTGAGTCGCAATCCCGCGACGTCGCCCCCTGGCAGCGAAGCCATCTCCCCATCGTACGACATGAACCAGTTACCCCCATTCCAGCAACCACTCTCTGTCCCTTCCGTCGGCAGCATCCCCTCCGCAAACCCTAACCACCAACACCCGCATCACCAACATCACGCCATGGCACATGCGATGCTTACGGCGCAGAATGCGCTCCCCAACCCGGCCTCTGGCCCGCCTCTTGCATCCAACGATTACATGGCCAAATCCTCGTCCGCCCCGGCATACGGCGGGCTTCAGCAGTTGTCTAGTCCCCCGACGGGATATTCGCCCTACAGTGGACAACCAGGAATGGGCATTCATCCCCCGGGACGCGTCGCCTCCAACCCACATCCGTCTCCTCATCACCACCTTGGTTACCAACCGCGACAGCCCTGGCCATCGTACTCACTCCCCGCCATGAACGGACCCGTCATGACCAACGTGCACAACCCGGGCAGTCAGATGTCGCTTCTGGGCAGTCTTCAACCGGGGATTTTACCGGGTTTTAACAGCGGTCATCTGGCCAGCATGCAACAGATCTATGGGGGCCACCCGCCGCACCCCGGCCATGCACCCGGACCCACCAACGATCGGCCATTTAAATGTGACGAGTGCCCTCAGAGCTTCAACCGGAACCATGACTTGAAACGGCATAAGCGGATTCATTTGGCGGTGAAGCCATTCCCGTGCACGCATTGCGATAAGAGTTTCTCTCGCAAGGATGCACTGAAGGTGAGCCTTCATTCAGATTGCATAGTATACGGAGACTAACCTGCATTAGCGACATATTCTGGTCAAAGGCTGCGGAAAGGATGGACCCTCGGACACGAGCTCCGTCAAGCCAGAGCGGAGCGCTGTCAAAGAGGAAGATAAGGATATGGAGTCCAACGGTCACAGTTGAATCGAATCGTTTGGAGTCATGGTCCAGTTATTACTAGGAGTTATTATTAGCACATCGGCGTTACATATTGGTTCCTCCCCCTTCCACCTCGTTGGGAAACGGTGTTTATCTTGAATGCGTCGAGCTTGAGCTTTGCTTTGTACTGTGAGTGTTTTCTTTTGGCCCTGTAATTTGGGTTTCTCCGCCTACTGTATGTTCCATGACGTTGTCACTTTACTGTCTCACTGTACTGTGCTTGAATTTGGGCGGTTTCTAAGGCGGGATATTTTTTTCCTTGTGTCCCTTCTCTCTGATTCGAATTCTTGCGCGGATGGGTATCAAGCGAATGGATCAAGCTGGATGTTTTGTACTCGTATGTATGTAGAGGGCGTTGTGACGGGCAAATGGTACGTTATCTGAATATGAATTTTTCTAGGATTGAACAAGAAACAGTGATTATACGATCTGATATCTCCACCACCCATATACGGAACCACCCATAATCTACACTCCTGATGACCGTCTCCCAGCAAGAAACTCCCCCACTAACCCCCGATAATCCTCCATCCCATACGGCTCCAACCACTTCAACCCGCCCTTCTTCCTCCCAATATCCAACCCGAGATCCCCCAGCAAGAGATCCACATACGGCAACGCATCGAACACGAAATCCGGGTTCCGTTTCCCAAATCCCCCGGGATACCGATGCACCCCGAACTGGCTATGCAGCGCCGTCTCCCAGAGCAGGTCCACGTCTGTCGCGTCGTCCACGGTGCCTTTTTCGTGGAGCTCCGCGCGCAGAGACTCCGGGCATCGCTCGCGCGGTGAGAGCGAGAGCATGTCGCTGCTGAAGTATGCGGCGATCCAGAGGGCCTGGGCCTGCGCGATCATTGTCGTGTTGATCGTCATGGTGAGGCCCATGAAGGCGATCGAGCGGGATGCTGCGAGCGCTGGGGGGACCATGAAGCGGTAGAGGCGGAATGGGTGGCGTGCTGTGGCGGGTGCGCCTGGTGCTAGGGGCGTGTAGGATGAGGGGAGAGAGGGCTGGTCGATGAGGCGGGGGAAGCGGGTGAGGATTTCGGTGTTGGCGGCTAGGACCATGGGTTTGGGGAGAGGGTCGTCGGACCAGGGGAACCCCATGGATAGGTCTGGGGTGGGCAGGGACGCGGAGGCCTGGAAGGTGAGGTTGGGGGTTGCTTGCCAGCCGGTGCAGCTGATTAGGGCGTCGGAGGGGAGGACGAGGGGGTCGTCGCTGCCGCTGTTTTTGCTTCTTCCATCGGCATGATCTGAGGGATGGATCAGATGCACCGCGTGGTCTGATAGATGGCTGATCTGGTTCACGTGCACATGCACGCGGCCGCTAGTGACCAGGTCGAAGAAATTCGTCGGATAGTTCAAGATACTCAGCCCCGAGGCTACCCAGAACGGACTCACCCAGGGCTTGAGCTTCCTTGTCTCTGGGTGTGCGTCGTAGCGATTCAACTTGACCACGTCGTCGCCGAGGATGAACCAGAACGCGTCGACGATCTTCCGACCTAGCCAGGTGCCGTGCAGGAGGCGACGGATCCCCGTGTTCGCGGGGCCCCAGATACACGGACTGAACCAGGTCAACAGCCGCGTCGTCACTAGCTTCTCGAGCCATTTCTTCAACGGCGTCACGTACGGCGGCGCCATCCAGACCGGCCCGTGCCCGTTCTCGCGGATGATCCAGTCCACGCGCGCGCCGGCCGTCGCGGCCGCATACACGGCGTCCCAGGCGGATTTCGTGCCGCCGAAGACGGTGACGCGCGAGTTGGGGTGGAAGATCTGGTCTTGGTGGAGCGGGAGGTCGCGACAGTGGAGGAGCGGCGCGGCGTAGGTGTCCTGGCCGGCGTAGGTGGGCAGGTAGGGTTGCGAGGTGATGCCCGTGCAGACGATGAGTTTGCGCGCGTATATCGTCTGTTTGCCTTGCGGGTTGGCTTCATCTTCCTCCGTCGCATTCGCAGTACTTGCAGTGGCAGTATCAGACTCAACCGCCGCAGTCTCCAAAACCCACCCATCCCCATTCCCATTCTCCTCATCCGCACGCACACTCTCAACCTTAACCCCCAACCTAACCATCCCCCAGAGGTTAAACCTCTCCACAAACGCCTCCATATATCTCTGCACCACAGCACCCGGTATATGTTCCCCATCCTTCACCCCGAAGGTCTCCTCATCCATGGGGAAATCGCTAAACTCGTACGTCCCGCGCATATTATTCGATTTGAGACCCGCATAGAGACGATGTTTTGCCCAGACGCCGCCGATCGAGGATGCGGCTTCTAGGAGCTGGATGCGCGCGTTGGGGTGGACTTCGTGGTAGGTTTTGAGGGCGGAGAGACCGCTCCATCCTTTTCTTTCTGTTAGCTTGTGTGGTTTGGGGGGAGGGAATTGAGAGGAGAGGTACCTGCGCCGATGATTACGACGTCAATTGGGTCTTCTGAGGTCATGGTTGTGATAGATTGGTGATTGACACCGGAATTGATTTGAATTGTTTGGTCGATTGGAACGCAGGGGGAGGCGAAGGTGATAAATCGAAGAGAATTACCCGCGCAGAGGTGACTCGTTCGATGCGATCAGTTCACTGAACTGATTGAGTTCGATTAAATGAACTCGAAACAATACCCGGCCTTAGTTCTTATCTTAGGTCTTACGGAGTACGCAAGTAAGCGTGACGACCAGGCAGATCCTCGAGTGAATGCGACGCAAAAAAGCAAAAAAAAAAAAAAAAGTACTAAACTAACCACGCAGGTCAGCTGGAGGGTTTAAGAAAAAAGACCCCAAAGTCAAAGTCAATAAAAGATCAACGGTGAAATCAAATCAAGATCATCCTTAGAGGCGCCGATCTCGGGAATAAATAGAACTGCGACTGCAAGATTGGAGATTAATTAACTGTGCAGGGGAGGAAGGATTGCGGTGCCGATAGACGAGAGGAACGACGCTAAGTACTCCGCGGATGAAGTGCTAGATATTCCTTGGGTTATCTATGGTTCAATTTATAAATTGCACACAGCCGATGTTACTCGACAGATTCCACCCCATCTGTGAAGAGTACAGACAGCGAACAAAATTAAGTGGCTTGTTGGTTTTCTTTCAAAAAAATAGAAAAGTGGAGGAAACGTTCACCGCATCGACCACATTCCATCCCTTGATTCACGGACGGATATTAATTCAATCCCTCCGAGCGAAAAGGGTGGAGGTGGTGACACTAGGAAGCCCTAACTTCTCTAGTGTCGACAACGGCTGGGAGGTGGAGTCGAGGGCAGGACATGACAGGACATGCAATCACATAAATTTAATAATGTCATTGTTTTCGTATTATTAACTAGTTAGAAACTAAGTTGAACGAGAGTATTCAGACTACTCCTTGGAGAGACTGGACTGGTCGGGGCTCCGGAATCTCATACTCCGCCGACATCTCGACTCAGACTGAGAGTTTGGGACGGACTCGGGGCGCGCTTTGGGTTTGGTTCGGCGTTTCAATCCCAACCTTCACATGTGGAGAGGAGCAGGGGTGGATTCGAATGGTTGTCTCGGCCTGTCGGGTACAGTGACACTGACAGCTGAGCTCTCGGGTAGGATTTGGTTCCATGGTTTGCTCGGAGGTTATTTCTCGTGAAGTACGGTATATACTCGCTGTACTCCCTATACTTCGTATACTGGTTTTTAGGTTAAGGATGAGTGGACACTGTGATGCAAAGTATTGCTGATTACGTGGAAATTTGTACACTTATTAGTTGCCTGTGAATCATTCTGCTCTACCCAAGCATATTTACGACGCAAACCCCTTGACAGCTAGTCGCTGCCTTCTAAGCGAGCATCGGGCTTCTCCTCTTCTGGATGAGGGAAAAATCGGCAGTCGGAAGTCTGACATTTCTCCAGTCTCCACTATAATTCAGCCACTTCGACCAAGCCCGCCGATCGTTCTCCATCCTGCGTGGCAACTGACGAACCCTATCACGTCTTGAAGATGTCCCAATTTTATTTCTTCAGGGGAACAAAAGGAACCGCCGTCCGTACCTAATAATCTAATCCTATTACCCTACTCCATAGACTATCAGGATAGGCTCTCTTGGCCTGTCGGCATTTGCAATCTCAACGGCCCAGCGACCCAATCCTAACGGCATAGTGATGGATATGGAATATGGATCCTTACCGGCGTCCCGACTGCCGGCGCAGTGGGGACTCGTTCATGTTCATCAACTTCCGTGCTAATTGCCGTGTAATTCTACTCTGGAGTAGCTTGAGCTCCTCGGAACTGGTTCCTGTTCGTTGTGCCTGGGTTCGGCGTCTGCCTGTCTGCCCTGACGGGAGAAGTGGGGGTACTACTATTGCTTTTAGTCACTACGTACTACTATTCCTGTAACTTGGCAAAGATTGACATTAACGGTCGGGTAGGATTGCGCTTGAATATCTAGTGTGCAGACGCAGAGTGCAGAAATGAGCCTGATTCTCGACGGGGTTTGACTCCGGCATATCCGGCATTCGGGGTGGGCTTTATGTATCTTGTATATCTCTTGAGATAGATAAGAAGACTAGCTGATATATCACACTCTACGGACGATCAAAGGCGGGTTATAAATCCACCACGTCCTTTTCTGTTACTTTTCTTCCCTGGTTCATTCTATCTTATTCGTTTTCTTTTCCTTTTTAGGCCGCCGAGTAGGTCATGTCATGATTTCCAACTCTTTTGGTCTATTTTTATGTTTGAATACGAGCTTTGATTATTTTCGATGATTTGATTCGCTTGGATCTACGAAAACAGGGAAGACAATATGGCTGCCACCGACGACTTCACCATAGAGGCCTTTACTCTGCTAGGCCTTGCCATCGTCACGATCGTTGTGCGCGTCATCGCCCGCTTTCTCACTGTCGGGTTTAAGAACTTTCAGTTTGATGATTATTTGATGCCTGTGGCTGGGGTGAGTGCAGTCTTTCTTGGCTGTCTTTGACATGATTGCCTCTGCATTCATATTATATCTAATAAAGTTATACTGACAGTCATATTAGATAGTCTACAGCTTCGAAACCGCCGCCGCCTACTGCGTCGGTGCCTGGTGGCAAGGCCTCGCCAACAACTCCATGACAGACCAGCAGCGCATGACCCTCGATCCAGCCTCGGAGGAATATCGGCTACGAGTCGGCGGTAGCAAAACGCAGGTCATTGGATGGAGTCTCTACACGACGCTACTATGGCTGTTGAAGGCTTGTATGGCGATGTTCTTTTCGCGAGTGACGTATGTCAATGCACCTCTCCCAATGCATCTGTCGACTGTTGCAATGCTAATCGATCCGAAAACAGGGCCGGCCTCGTCAACATGACCATTCGAATCCGTCTCGCATACCTCTTCATCGCTGTCACTTATATCGCTGTCATCTGCTCCATCTTGTTCGGATGCCATCCCATGAGCAAGAATTGGCAGATTTACCCCGACCCGGGAAATTATTGCCAGCCGGCTGTTTCGCATATTGATGTTTATGTGACGGTTACGTTGAATGTCGCGACGGATGTATATTTGATTTCGATTCCTACGCCGGTATGTCTTCAATCTTACTATCCATGTATTATACTTGTCTCCATATACGAAGATCCATTCTACTCAGTTCTAGCTAACCAAAGAACCCAATACATACAGATGCTATTCAAAGCGCGTCTCCCCTGGCGCGAGAAACTCGAACTCCTGATCCTCTTCAGCGGCGGAATCTTCGTCATGGCAGCTGGAATACTCCGCTGCGTGCTGATCGTCACGGTATACCTCTACCATCCCTTCCTCTCACCCCAGAAATTTCTCACACCATGTACAAATGCTGATAGAAAGAATAGGCCGGCGCAAACGGCGCCCAACAAGCCGGCAGCTGGGCCTGCCGCGAGACCTTCGTGGCGGTCATAATCGGCAACGCGCCCATGATCTACCCTCTCTTCCGACGCATGGCGCGTCGCGCTGGCTGGTACATCAGTAGCACGTATGGCGGGGCGTCGCAGTCGTATCAACTCTCGGAAGGCGACGGGAAGGTCATGAATGATCATACGTCGACGATGCAGAGTCGCAAGAAACGGTTTCGGCATCCGTTGTCGATTCCCGATACGCAGTGGAATAACACGGTGGATGATTATGGTGGGGAGAATGAGGGGGGGGTCGGTCCACTGGGGGGTCTTCAGGGTCAGGGTCAGGCGGAGGCGCAAACGCAAACTCAGGCTGCGAGTACTGTTAGTGGGGAGGGGGAGAAGAGGAAGAGAGGATCGACACTGGGGCTGGGGAGGGAGTGGGAGAGGTTGAGTGAGGAGGATGGGGAGAGGGATGATAGAGGGGGGATCACGGTGGTAAGGGAGACGATTGTGAGGAGTAAGGAGAGGGAGGGGAAGAGGGAGAGCTTTCTGTGATATAAACATATTTGAATGTAAATAATTTTACCTTATGGACTGTTCGTTTTTCAATTTGAGGAGATCTGATGGAATAGTGTAGAGCTCTTCTAGTAGATTGAGTTTTAGGTTGTTCCCACGGTCCAATTGTTTACAACGCCTGTCCGGCTTGAGCTGCATTTTGAGTAACCATATGATTTGATAAGACTAAGCTAGCCGTACTCTAACATTTGAAGAATTCGGAAAATCTGGTATGCACTGAGTTGCCCCCATCACCTCAAACGATGTCTCCGACAGCGATAGCAAGCTCTCATACGGCAGTTCCGACAGACGAAGATATACTCCGGCAAAAAATGATCGCACACTTCGCATTGCAGATCGCCATGTTCCTGCCACCTCCACTGGGATCTTCTATGATGCTCACATCCAACATCCTCGAGACGTTCCAGCTCTCCCACGATTCGATTGAACGCATTTCGACGAACCACGGCGTTTGCATTCGGGGCCACCTCGCCGGCAACCGCCTCGTTGGCAATGGCATACAACCTTCTCTCTTGCCATAATGGGCATTGGCATGTTCTCCATTGCTGACCACAGACGTAGCAGAATTCGCGACCGCACCTATAGAATTTCCTGGGTTCAGTTGCTTCTTCGACTTGTTGATCAGGTGGGTTGGGGTGGGTTGACATACCGACATGTAATGTGATGACAGCCATGTTTAAGCTCGACCATCGTACGACAGTTAGAGCATCGACGCCAGTTCTCCGTCTCAGCCAAGGCAAGAACATCCTGTAATGGCTGGTCCAACGGGCAGTCGACTGTTGGGTGTGCCAGCGAGCGACAAGGGATATGCGTTCGTCGATGGCATTCTGGACAGGTGCCGTAGTCAGCCCTGATGGCAGCCGGGGGGATGAATTTGGAGCAACTCGGCTCGGCACAGTACAATCGATCCTTGGCTGAGTATTCAATTGCTCTGTGACTGAACTCGGACAGTTCGCGATAGTCCAGTATGCGGAGGGCAGTCTCAGGGGGGATGATCCGACCACAGCAGCGGGGTGGATACAGTTCTTCATCTCTGATAGAGCCGAGGAATAGCTGGCGCGTGCATTCGTGACAGAGGCTCTCGCCGCAGGGGTTTGTGAAGACATCCGTTTTGTCGAAATACTCCCAGCAAGAAATACAGCACATCCGGGGCTGAGAGGACGATATCCAGCGAGAGGAGCCTTCACCGTTATCCGACTGGCTGGTCAGGGTCATCCGGTCCATCAGATCTCCCATGACTGTGGAGATGGAATCGTCAAAATCGTCCTCTTGTACCAACGTCTCGCTTGCGTTTGAAGTGGCGGGAGTGTGGCGTTGATTATTCTGCAGCGCACGCGCATACCCACGATCCTGCTCGGCAGCCGCCTCATCTCGTCGAATCGACTGTAAGATATGTTGGTCGGAGATGACCGCTGCGCTGGCGCTGACAGCCATGACACGATCTCGGATGCTTGTTTGGAGCGCGAGGATATCCTCTCTCATCGTGGTGATCGAAAGCTCCAGGTCGGTGTGCTCTCCATCTCGTTGCTTGCCTTTCTGTCGACCCTCAAGCTCTTCGAGGTCTTCTTGAAGGATCTGAAGAGCTAGCTCCAGGTTCTCATCGGTTGCCATTTTGGGTAGTATTGTAGAAAGTACTGCCAGATAGATGGGCCGAAGAGAAAGAAAGAAAGAAAGTCAGGGTTGATCGGTTGGAGATGCAGGAGGAAGAGAAGGGAGAGAGGGCCACTTCCAGGTAGGAAATTCACTATTGAATGATTTGTTGATCAACGTCACGCGAAAAATCAGGAAAGTCTCACTCTAGTCTGACATTTGCACCATTCTGCGTAACTGAGCATGCAGCAGCGAATGGTAAACATATGTAACCGTCTCAGGTGCCTAAGGCAACCGACCTAGCATTCTCTGTTTGCTGACCCTCCATGATCACAACACCCATGAGACATCTTTATTTCGTATGACAACCATCCATTGGTCAGTCCTGTCGATAAAAATAATCTGTTCCATTCGTCACAGTGATCAAATGGCCACCGCAGTGGCTCCTGGCACCTTGAACATCTTGAGATAATGAGCCCTGTGAGATCTTCCTCTCTGTAGACTAATTTGGAGTTATTTGACTGAGCAGAATTCTAAGCAGTTCAAGGCTTTAAGGAGCTTACTATCTACTTGGACTCATCATACTCATGCCGGATTTCGCCATTTCATCGAGTCTTCTCGTGAAGCCGTCACCCTTGGGGGAGCTATCGCGGATATATACATACAACAAGCTGACGGTCATCATTCTTGAGAACGGCCAGGTTATCACTGCTCATAAGTCAACAATACCATGGCCACATTATCATACTACATAAGCGACAGTATAGCCATGCTCCAATTCACATCTATATGTTATTCTCTGCTCAAGGAGCAATCTCAAGCAGCCCAAACTCGACCAATCAGGCGCGTTCATTTCGGTCAATTGTCACGTGTCAAGTATCTATTTTTGGAAGCGGTGAGGACTGATCGACACCTACACCGCCTTCCCGACGCAACGTACTGCCCGGCCAACCGCATCCAGCCTGCATCGAACAGCTTCATCTCATCAATTTTGCATCCTACCTTGTCCTTCCTCCTGTCCCACCAATTCCTCTTCAATTACCTCCTCCTCCTCCTCCTCCTCCTCATTATACCTCCTTACCTACCTACTTCTAACCGCCAATCGAAATGCACGCCCGCTCCCCCTCCCCCACAAGCGACGACCCGCGCAAACGCACCAAACAAACGCACCCAACAACGCGCCTCTGCCACGACTGGATGGTAGTCTCGGGAAACTGCCACTACGCGCGCGACGCCGAGCACTTCACCACCTACCGGCCGGTGTCGGTGTCCTTGAAAAACAACCGGTTCAACCCGCACGAGGAGCTCCACGTCGCGGGCGTGGGGACCGTGCAGCTGACGACGTGTAGGAGCGCCAACGACCCGACGCCCCGGGTCATTCGGCTCGACGAGGTCCTGCATATCCCGGACGCCGTGTGTAACGGGTTCAATCCGTTGCTGGTGGGCAGTAGCATGTCGTGCCATGCGACGCATTGGGAGGGTGCGGACCGGCAGGGCGAGCCGTTGTGGTTTGGCCTGCCGTATGCGGGCGGCACGAGGGTGGCGTTGGCGGGCGATCTGAGGGGCGAGTCGGAGTTGATCGGGGGGAGGGAGTATACTTTGAGTTTGCATGTTAGTGGCGAGGAGAAGATGGCGATGGGGTTGGCTTAATCGGGCTGGGTAGGGAATGGAATGGGTTGGGGGCGTCTGTCTGTTCGGTTTGTGTATTTTATCTGGGTACAGGGTACTGATTGCTTTATGATTTGTGTATGTACATTATGTGGAAATGAATGATTATTGGATATATGCGGGACTTTGGGTTTGCTAGAATCCTGCAATCTCCGGTCTCCCCAGATCTCCAGGTTTCTGTCTCCAGTCTCCAGGTCTGTCTCCCCATGTCTCCCCATCCCGACTTTTTCTCCCTCACCGAGATAGATTAATGCCGAGACATCAACGCCACGCGCGGTGGACCTGCATGGGCACTGTTATGGACCCTTTAGGCGTAAATATCACGAACGCATGGCTTGTCGGGCTGCTCGTCCCGATGGCCACCGACCGGACTGGACAGGATCGACCAACTCCGTAGTGCCGTACCCCAATATCCCCAGACTCGCCATGCGGAGCCCAGGGCCTCCAGTCCGCCTCGCTTAGCAAGGATCCTGGCCCTGAGCAAGAAACGTTGCAGTTCAGTAGGCCACGGCATATCGGGCCGTCAGCCGACCAAGTTCAACACGGAAAAAAGTCAGCAGGTTAGTCATGCTCGCCCAGCAGGTCAGATCCAGCGTGAATCAGCCCATGAGGCATTAGCTGCTGTTGCTTCTCACTACTAGCAGCATCTACGGCGTATTACTCACTTGCCAATTCGGCTGGGAGTCAGCTCACCCGAGCCACCGATGGGAAGAATTTTTACGAGCGGAGGGGCAAATCAATATCACAAGATGGTCAAATCTTTCCAGAGCATTCAGATCAGGCCCGTTGTCGGAAAGGTTAGGTAGAGAACCTAGTCTCTACTCTCGATTCTGGCTGGTTTTCCCCGGACTTCATCCTTACCCGATTCGGTACGGACCGACACCTCCTTGTCGCGGGGAGAAACAAGACAAGGCCAGATCCTGCAATTATCCACGCATAGTGCATGTCCTATAGCCCGGTAACATCGTTTGATTTTTTAGGCCTAGTTTTTCCGGTTTCCTTTCTTTCTTTGGTGGTCCGGGGTTGACGGTTTGATCTTTTCGGGTTTTTATTTTTCTTGTCCGAATTATTGCTTTTGATCGTTTGCCCCCCTTCGAGGAAAGGGCTCAATCCATATAAATCAGGGTTCCATCCGGCCTGTTTCATCTGATCTTTTCCTTCTTCCTTTTTTGTCTCTGTCAACGCAATTTATTCTTATTTTTTCTATCCTGCAATATGGCCGAAAAGCTGGATACCACTATATCACACCTTGACAAGGCCGGCGATGCCGAGGTGCGTGGCGTCAACAATGGCGCGTTGGCGGTAGCCACCATGCAACAGAAGCCGAGACTGTTGAGTAAGAGTATGATCAAGGTACGTTATCTTGAACAGAATTTAGTAAAGGTGGTATACATCGGAAATTGACCCAACTTGAATGATGACAGCTGTACTGGTGCATCCTCGTCGCCATGCTCAACTCCTGCATCAACGGATACGACGGCTCGCTCATGGGCTCGATCAACAGTTATGAACAGTACCGAACATACTTCGGCTTCGATCCGGACGAGGGTACCCCCTCTACCGGTATCGTGTATGCTATCTACACCATTGGCAATATCGTCGGCTCGTTCACGGCCGGTCCGTTTACTGATTTCCGAGGTATGATTATGATTTCCTTGCATTTACTGCCCTCCCTTCCTTCCCCGCTCATACAGGGTACTGATTGACGAAAGGCCGTCGTGTCGGAATGGCCATTGGCGCCACCTTCATCATCATCGGTACCATCGTCCAAGCCACCTGCCACAACCTGGGCGGCTTCATGGCCGGCCGATTCATCCTCGGTTTCGGTGTCGCTACCTCCGCCACTGCCGGACCGGCCTATGTCTCTGAGATCGCGCACCCGGCCTACCGTGGTGCCATGACGGGTCTATACAACGTGCTGTGGTTCGGTGGTGGTATCCCGGGGACGTTCATCCCGTGGCGGACCAGCGACATCGCGGGTGACATGAGTTGGCGAATCCCGATTTGGTTGCAGATGATCTTCTCTGGGTTGGTGTTGTTGTTTTGCTTTACGATCCCGGAGGTGAGTTGAGTCCCTGCCCCTTTCTTTCTACCTCAGGTGGGTGCTAGGAATGTGTTGCTGACAGTTCGTGCTTGCTAGTCGCCTCGTTGGCTCATCTCGCAGGATAAGCACGAAGCCGCGCTAAAGGTGTTGGCTGAATACCACGGTGACGGGGACCGCAACGCCCCGATCGTGCAGCTGGAGTATCGGGAGATGATTGAGGATATTTCCAAGACGGGTTCCGATAAGCGATGGTGGGATTACCGCGAGTTGTTCAACAGCCGCGAGACGAGATATCGGTCGATGTTGGTGATTTTTATGGGTGAGTTATCCTCTTTCCCCTGTCTAGCCTCTACGTTTGTCCGGAAGTAGCATGAAGAGAAAACCCATACCACTTTACCCGTCCAGCAAGACTAACATGGATCAACCCAACAGCTTTCTTCGGCCAATGGTCCGGCAACGGTCCCGTATCCTACTATTACCCCCAGATGCTCCGCGGCGCCGGTATCGAAAACAACAGCACACGACTCCTGCTCCAAGGTCTGCAGAACGTGGTGCAGTTCATCGGCGCCGTGTCCGGTGCCCTGGTAACTGATCGCGTCGGTCGTCGGCCGCAACTGCTCGTCTCGACTGCCATCATCGTCATTCTGTTCGCTATCGTGACTGCCCTGAACGCCACCAACGTGGTCGACGGCCCCGACGGCGAACCGACCGCTAAATCAGGCATCACGGCACGCGCCCAGATTGCTATGATCTTCCTCTTCGGGTTCGTGTACTCGGCTGGTTGGACGCCTAACCAGGCCATGTATCCTGTGGAGTGTTTGCGATATGAAAGTCGAGCTAAGGGGATGGGTATGAATAACGTAAGTCTCACCTTCCTGCCAGCCTTTCCTACCTTACACGCCTATACGCTGTGTCCAAACCAAATTATATCACATGCTAACAAAGAGGTCAGTTCTTTGTCAACATCGCCTCCTTCTACAACACCTTCGTCACTGGAATCGCGTTCTCCGGCGCCGGCTGGAAATACTATTTCCTGTTCATCTTCTGGGACACGTTTGAGTTCCTGATCATCTACTTCCTGTTCGTCGAGACCAGCAAGCGCACGCTGGAGGAGTTGACGGCTATCTTCCAGGCGAAGAGTCCGAAGAAGGCCTCGTTGAAGAAAGACGAGGTCTTTGTGGCTGGGGGCGAGGCGGCGGAGATCACGAAGGAAGTACCGTGATCTGTCTGATCTGCTTGGGGGTCAGAAAGAGAGGAGAGCGGTTGAGTTGATTCAGGACTTAGAGACACTTCAAACCGGTTAGGATTACTGGGGTTGGATAGGGAGTGAGAGTTAGGGCTTGAGGGATCACTGGACTTGATGACCAAACGAGAGAGGAAGGGGTGGTTTCTTTCGGTTTACGTCTTATCTTATTCTTTTATAATACCACATTGTTTCTTTTCGTTCCTTAGCTCTCAAACGCGACTGTTCGAAGTCTAGGTAATTCTTTCTTCTCCTCAATTCCTGATGATGGATGACGCTGTTTCTTTCTCTCTTTCTTTTTTGGACCTTGGAACCATCCTCTACCCAAGCGTTCTTTAGTCTCTTCAAAGAAAACGATCAGTACTTGGAATCTGTTATTTTTTGATCTCCATTACAATCCGCCCGATGAACCAAGAATCCCGAAACGTAGCCAAATGACCTCTTTGAGAAGGTTTCGTCGCTTTGTCGTCGAATGAAGCGGTGATTTGGTTCCTGCCAAGCTTTTTTGTTCTTACCCCTTCCATCCTTCTTCGATAAGTTTATGCCTCACTCACGTTGACGATAGTCTTTACAGAATGATAATCTCGAATAAATTAGCGAGACTGTCATTGAAGGTAGTGATGTTCATTGAAATAATGCAATGGTGGGAACATCCGCTCGATACTACCTAGCTGACTGACCATCCGCATCCGGCGGTGATTCTCCACCACAAAGAAGCTTCAAACCTTTGGTTTCAAAGCCTGATTGAGAGAGAAGGGTTCGATTGTATACATCGGAAACAACGAAAAGTTCGGTTCTTTGTTGTGGTAGAATAGTGAGGTTGGCTATCTTCATCACACGTGCGAGATACTGCTTCTTTCCTCATCACATGTCACTTGCGGATCGAGCTACAGCGCGTAAGATATCAGCTGATATTCCTGTTCAAGTGATACATGTCCACAGAGGAACTACTTAGTTGTTCATTTTTCACGGAGGTCGAGAGAGAGAGATATAGAATATCGAAACGCGTCATGGCGAGAGCCAGGGGAAAGAATTTCAGATTAGAGGAGATGAAGGTAAGATAGCTAACTACAGAAGAGGCTCTAGCGACCAAAAGACGAAGTTCGAGAGTCATTGATGGAGGGCCGTTCTGCCGAAACAGCTGGGAAACGTCAACCTATCCATCCTGTTTGGTCTCGAATATATCGCCCGGAATGACTTCTTACTGAGCGCTTGCTTGCTTCCATGACTCTTTCAGCCCTACAGCCTTACATATCTTGATGGATTACGCTAACTGTCATCTGTGCATATAGGTTAGGCGCTCTCCACGTATTCAAAAGGCCCTCCCACTACCGGAAAGAAAAAACCCCCAGGCGGACCAAAGAGGGAGAAGAGGTCGCCCTGGCCGACCCAAGCGCCATACACAGGCATCAAAGCAGTCACCCTCGCTAGGTATCGAGGTACAGGTTCCGCTAAGCACTGAACCGAATGATATAAAGAAGGATGGCGAGCTAAAATACCAACGCGTGGGCGAAGACCAAGCCAACAAAGAAGGAAGACAAGAGAAAACACCCCAAGAAGAGAAGGTCACCGGGTCAAAGGGATTCTCGCAACCCCAACATCCCAAATACGAAGGGTGCATGTGGATTAATGGGTCGCTGATCCCGCCTTACTGCGGCATCCGGCGGTGGAAATCTTTGGATGACGCGGAGATCGAACCGTTGTTGGACAAATATGAGACACTAATCAGGGAATGGGCGTCTGAGTATGCCGTTGAGCTTGGGAATGGGGTTGATGGTGATGAAACCATGTCTGAGCAGGAGAAGAGATCGGTTATGGATAGTTTGGGGAGTTATTGTGCGTTTCGGGATTGGGATAGTTTGATAGAGGGTCTCTTGCCGAAGAAGGATACCCCTGAGGTTTCGATGCCGGGTTCGCCACACACTCCGATGCTGATAGACGTTGATGTCAAGGAAGAGGAGAACCCACTCCCTGAGATGGACATGACTCCTGATATTCCGCCGAAGAGTCCTTCGGATAATCCGACAGATGACACTGCGAATGTCAAATCCGATAGTGTTCTAGATGGTTCAAAAGAGAACGCTCTTGATGAAGCGACGGCTAAGTCTCAGGAGGTTATGGTGGAAAGCCCTACAGATGCTAGACCAGCGAGTGTTCTCAATACTCCCTCTGGGAACCTCTCGGAGGGCTCATTGTCGAACTCTTCAGACGCAACTCCGGCCAACCCGAACAATATCCCATCATTCCCTCCTGAAGCGACAACAAGCTCCCACGACGCTCCGCCGCTAAGTGCACCAAGGAAAAAGCGCCCTAATCCACCCGGCCTCTCAATCCTGCTGGTAGAATGCCTTCTCACTAAATGTCTTTACGAGAACATAATCCAGGATCCATTCTATTACCTTGTCAAAGCAGAGGACACGGAGGTCGACAGCGTGCCAACTACATTCGGCAGAGACTTTTATAGTGTCTGGCAGAAGCTGATGAGAGGTAAGTTGGCCGAATTTCATTCCATAACACCCAAGAAAGCGATGTCGTTATTATAGCTAACCCAACACAGCCAGTCGAGTCAAGGCACAACGAATCCGAATGGAAATGACCCAGCTCCTCAACGGCTTCGACATCTGGGACCAATGCCACGACATCTCAATCGGAGCACAAAGTCGAAACCTCCGAAAACAGGCCCTAGAACGCCTCATCGTCTCCGTCCTCGGCTCATCTAGCACTATACACCCCCTCCTCCGCCCGCTCAATGACCCCAAACAAAGCGAAACCCGCTTCAAGCGCCTCCTGCACATTTTCCGCGAGGCCGCCGAGATTGCTATCTGGATGTACACGCAGGAGAGCTACTTCTTGTTCGCCGACAATATTGCCACGTTAGGGTCCTTCGACGGGCAGATTACGGGCCGCGAGGAATGTCTGGAGTTAGGGTACAAGGAGGCCGAGGATACGATGAGACCGCATCAGTTTACGAGACGGGACTACCCTGCGGGAGTGTTGAATGGGAGGAATCCGGTGTTGATGATCAGGCCGGTGCTGAAGAGAGTTTTTGTGGATTCGTGGACAAGCTGCGCGTTGAATGATCGGCCGGGCAAGGTGGTGTCGAGGGCTGTGGTGTGCCTGGGGAGGGATGAACCATTGGAAGAAAATCGGACGAAGTGGTGATCTGGTTGGGTTTGACTGTTGAATTGTGATTCTGCGGTATGTAAGTGGGCGTTCGTATTAGGAGGGGCTATCATAGCGCTCTCTTCTACGGTCGAATTCGACTGTGAGAAGTTTACGATGACCTTGTTCTCTTCTTCTGGCATTAGCCCATATAAAGCACTCAGACAAGTTTTATTCTTTGTAAATGTACATTAATCATCACTGATACTCATGCGGTCACTCATTGGCGAGCTCGGCTCTAAGCATTTCTGGCTGTCGCCGATCAGCTCCCCTTGGCACAAAGCTTGGAAGCGAATTTGGCCGTCTTGTGTTCCTAGTGTCGCGCGTATCTCACAGGTGACCGCAGTGTATTTATGGCCATTGACGGTAGCTTGTGGGAACGAGCCCAAATTGAGGTCGCTCAGATCACAGGGGATTTGGGCAATCGAATAAGTACCTAGGATTATCCAGGGTCAGTCGCGGCCGGAAAGTATGACTCTATGACCAGTTGCATGAGAAAACGGAGAAACAAACCAGGAGCATCGATCTGTGAAGCCGGGCAATTCTCTTTCGACTCGTAAATGCAAATAACCTTCCTGAACACACTCGACTCTCGATGGAACAAATGAACAATCTGTTTTGTAGTGTCATTGTCCCTATACGACCGGCCCTGTGGGAAATGACGGATGTTAGAAAGTCCCGTTTTGTGTGTCACCATCAACAAATCGACTTGCCTTTTTGATAAACCAGGCCATCCGTCGATTGACCTCTGATGAGTCCAGTTTCTGGTCGTCAACGCCCTAGTTTGACCGTGTTTTTCTCGTGACCGGGCGTGAAACGTGGTGGGCCCAAAGGCCAGCCCCAACTGCGATTGCTGCTTGCCTATGAGGTAGATACCATCAGAATTAGCTTTTTGTAGGAGAGATAGCCTAGGATTGAGCCGACTAACGGATCTTTAAGCGTATTGACGGTGATATGGCGCTTTCGATCGAGCATCTCGGTCACCTCCTGGCGGAGATACCTCGACTCGCTAAACCCGCCAACAAGGAAGACCTTCTGGAATTCTCCATTAGACTTGGTATATCCTTACTTCAAATGTTACACTTACAGCGCGTATTCCGGGTTGATTGATGGCATTACGAGCCTCTTCGAGATGCGTTATAAGCAGCTCACAAACCCGACTAACAACGGGCTCAAACATTGAATACAAATCTTTCCTGTTGGGCAGTATAAGTCAGCTTGGTGTGTTCTGTGTGAGCGTGATTCGGAACTGCCAAATGCGAAAGAGAAAAACAGAACTCAAGGCGAGGGAGACAGAAGAGGAGAGATGGATGGGGATAATGAGCGAAGGCAAGTAGAGCCTACCTTGAAAGTGCAATATCAAGACCAAGTAGACGTTGGCGATGGACGTAGTCTCCTGGCGTCCCGGAGTATCCATACTTAAGACCTTCGAACCACTTCATCAAGAAGCTACCTGGTGCGACTAGATGACGTGGCGCTTGCATGAACGAATCTCCCCATTGCTCTGACAAGAATCGGCAAAATGCACGGTCGATGCTGGTCGAGCCGATAAACTCCCCTGCATCGATGATCTCCGTCAGTTAACCTTTCCTTCACAGGTTTTCGCACGGTTCTTACCTGTGCTGGGCACCAGCTCATGGTACTGCAGGGGATCTCTGGACGTGATAAAATAGCTAGCAATGTCCTGTTCACTCCCAAAGGTTAGCGCCCACGTCGCTATATCATATCGAGGATACTCACAACGCTCCCACCGCCGCAATCGCATATAACCACACATTCGCCTGGCTGTATTCAAACATTTCAGCTTGTGATTGCGATATGATAGCAGGAAGGGGAAAAGGACGTACTTCAATCGTCACCGCGCTTCCATTCTCCAAACGCCCATGCAGCGTTGCCATCAGGGCTGCTTCGGGCTCCGTCAACAAACAAAGCTGATCGGCTGTGCGACTCCCGAAGCCGGCCTCCAATGCAGCGTGTCGAACATCTGCTCGCGAGATCTCAGACCAAGCCGCTGGGACAGTAAGCCAAACCTCCATCTGGATTGAATCCAGGCATCTCCCCCATCCTTCCGAATCAATCGCCATCTTATCTCGCAAGAAAGCCCTCAGGTGCCTGTAGAGCATATGCAGGTAGGCCGTAATTACCTGAGCCCAAGATCTTCCACGCGGCAAATGACTCAAGCCAAGTGAAATTGCCCATTTTAGATCCTTGTCGCCGATTGGGGGCCCCGTATCCGCAAGTAGCAACTTGGTCCACGATGCAGCGATCATGGTTGGGGCGACCTGGTACCCCCATCGTAGATCATTCTGGGCCAGCTCCGGGTTGTCTTCGGGAAATGCAATCCGGCTTGGCGTCTTGCAGGAATGTCTGTAGCGCAAATAGTCGGAAGGCCACTTCTGGATGAGCTGAACAGCAGAAGGGTCTGCCCATGGCCTGGAAACGCTGATACCTGGATGCAGGTTTGTCAACTTTTTTCCCCCTAAAAGTCGGACTCTTCTGGAGGGAGGGCTTGTAAGACTTACCACTGAATGTCGTGCCGTAATCAAGACCAATGATAAGTCTTGGTGGAGAGGGAGAGGCCATGGTGGATGGCTTGCAAAGAGGTTGAGAAGCGTGGTAGAGGGCAAAGTAGAGAAGAAGAGCGAGGAAGCGAAGTCAAGCTGAAGATAGAAGGGGATCTGAGAATTCAAATTGTTGAGTAATATGACACACTCGCCGGACCTGTTAGTTCAGGGTCGGCAAACACATCTCATGCCCTTCTACCTACCTTATGGACCTCCATTTTTGCCGGTCGGGCAGAGGAAAAAGTTCGGGCAACCAGTCATTATGGAAATGAGAGTGGTTGTAGGGACTGATTGCTCCTGCGTGTATCAACATTGTCTGTCTTCCGGGCAAAAGATGCTTGAGGTGCAAGTTGCCAAGAATTCCGCCGTTTGCTACCCCCCCCCTCCTTGTAGGAACAACTCTATACCGCCACTTCAACCATGTTTACTGGACTTTCTTTGTCGAATGGATAGTCTCTCTCATCGACTAAGATAGCATCGGCCAGGGCCAGGTGGCAACGGTTCATTCGCCATCTTTATGCTTTCTTTCACCCGAACAAAGAGATACGCAGGAGAGCCGTTCCATGCTCTTTCGTCTGGACGGTGCGATTATAATAGGTCTCTCTCCCCATTCGATTCCTCTTCTCTTTCTCTTCCTTAGAATTGCTCTTCCAGGATCTCCCAATTGGCATTCCGACCTACACAGACTTCACCTGTTCTCGGAGCTTTTGGACCGATGGCTTGTTCGCAGAGGCGGACCGGACTAAAATCTTCACATTCTAATTAGATAATAAGAAGAAATAAGTGTTAGCCACAAAAAAGAGGATTGCTAGATGGAAATTTCAGATTATTTACAAAATCGCCAGATTCTTGCAGCCCGTTCAAAATAAAATTGCCAGTCTCACCAGTAATTCCAAAAAACAAAATCTTTTGCTTAACAGACATTTTTGAATCTGATAAAAAATGAAAACTTCTTGAGACTTACTAAAAGAAAAAAAATTCGAAGACGGACAAAAGTAAAATCGTTCTATAGAACATGATCTAATTTACTGAAGAATTTGTTATAAAATTGACTAATTTCTAAACCAGGACATGCCACGGTCCGTCCAGTTTCCGAGCCGGTTTGCCTACGGGATCTGCGCATCCGAGAACCCTTAGGTATGCATTCCGTCATTTCAATCTTTCTTGTATTGTGCCTATGCCGGCTGGGACGAGGCGTCGGACGGCTGCGTGGTGGGCGCCCAATCCGTGATGCTATGGAATATGGTCACGGTTAGAGGAGCAGGCACGCGGTTAGCGTCCGAGGCAGATGTCGACCACTCATCCTCCTACATCTGGTATGTTTCTACAAACTGGTATTTACCAGATCCAACAACCCAAACGCAAACAACAAAAGACGGTAAGAAGATTCTGTACACTTCATTCCCATCCGTCTATATCTGCGCTACAGTCTGCAACTGGCCTTTTGTTCATGGCTGTCATCCTCTCGGCTTAAGTATCTAGTAGGTACAATAGTAGGAACAATTGCTCGGTTAGAGAATTTCAGGAGTCAAAGTGGCTAAGTAGTAGGGCTTGTATATCCCCCGCCCTCAAACTTCTCCAAACCCGCAATCGACCGCCCCTTCTTGAGATATAGCCACCTTCTAGGCGTCTGGGCAATGATCTCATTGGAAACGTCGTTTATAAGGATATCCACAAATGTATTTGCCCGGAGTAGCGGCGTCACATTTGAATCCTTCGCGTAAAAATGGCGATCCAACCCGGCCGAATCCTGATATCTCACGCGAAAAGCTAGACGACTCGCGGGATCCTCATCTGTGGCAGAGGTTGCGTAAACCTCGGGGTGTCTCTGGCCGGGCGGGCAGATCTCGATTTTGACAAACACAGAGCCATCGCCAGCGTCCATTCCCGGCGGGAATTGGATAGGGCAATAGTTGAGAGAGATAGTTCTCCGGTATGATACACCGAGAGGCACGGTATATCGATACTCTTTTTCGCGGAAGACTGCCGCCTCTCCCCGCCAACGACGATTGCCATGGCCTGTAAGATCTTTTCCAGTTGTCTGGCCCTGGCGTACAACGCCTTTTCTCTGTGGCGTTCTGCCCGAGCCGGTTTCAATGTCAGGTGGGGTGTTCACTGCTGGATCTAGGAATCTGCTCGCTCTAGCGTTATCAATCAGTGCAGCCAAACTGTCAACCCTAGCTTCATCCTCATAGGCGTGCATCTCGGGCGCTTTCTGGTCGGTTAACCCTGTCTGGTAGAGAGCCAGCTGACTCTGTAACTTGGCGATTTTCTCAGACTGATCATACAGCTGTGGAAACTCCTCAATTGCAGCCAGACTCGCCGAGTCGTTGGTTCCAGAGTCAGAGAGAATAGGCGTCAGGCTAGACAAGCGCTGTACGAAACTTTCTTGCCGGGATTGGATACGGTCGTTCACAAGGTGCTGCATGGCTTCCAGTCGCTTCTCGTTAAACATTTCGTAACAACGGACTCTTTCGTGAGATCTTTGTCGACGCACCCTCGACGATCTCTCGCTCTCTGGACTAGCAGAGCTTTCTGGATTAGTAGGGCGTCTAGGTAGCGCATGAAGCAGCATTAGTAGCCCACGGGTCAAAGTTCCACCAAGAGCCTCAATCATTTGGATTTCATGTTCTCCTTGAAAGCCTTTTCGAGAAAGCCAAAGCTTGATCCCACCATCCAACGATTCAGGCTTCATTGGCTCCCCACCAAGTCGCTCCTTTCTAGCATGGCAAAGAATACAGCCGATGACACTGCTTGATTCAACGAAATATGGCCTTATTCCTTTAATTCCAAGCAAATGAATACCAAAGCGGATGGCATCGCTCACTATTGCAGATTCACGTACTGCGAGGGACCATACCTCTGCTGGTAATGGCGGACACCGAATATAGATCCGTTTAGACGATGCAGCACCTTCAAGATAGAATGGATATCTGTGGCCGCTTATCTCTAAGGTGTACTGACTGAGGTCTTTCACTGCAGCCTTTATCGCTCTCTCTGCCCTTGGTCCGCAGAGATAGATAACTTTGAGGGCACTGTTTGCGATCAGAGATATGTGCATCTCTTTATGAGCTGTGTAACTAGTAGGAGTAAGTGCAGCCTTGGTAAATGAATCGGATGTAACGCTCGAAAATCGTTCAAAATTGTAAGCCCAGCAAAGAACATTCTCAAGATTGAATCCACAGCCTTGAATAGGCCAAGGAAGGATATCGCCTTGTCCTGGAGATTTCTGGCCTTCGGGATCTGAAGAAAAGTCTTCCGCCTCAGCAATGGCGAAATGATCCAAAACAAAACCAACCGAAGCAGCTAAGCTACCTGTATATCTGACCTTGTTATTAACAAAGTTTAACGGGCACGGTTCAATCTGCGGATTCGGGGAAAGAGATCTTTTCACTGATTCATAAAGAGCTTTATTGCCTCCAAGTGTTGTTTGTAAGGCAGCATCGAATTCACACTGGAAAAGGAGGACTTTTCCGTGTGAGGTTTTCCCATTCTGTAAATTGTGCCCTTTTTGTTTGGGGTTGAAAACAGCCCAGTGCTTGATTTGGGGATCGGGAGACTGGCTTGGACCAATATTAGCCTTGACTCTGAGTGCTTCTGTAAGGCGGGTTTTTCCTTGTATTAAGGGTGTCATAATGTTTGATCCAAAACCAACCAACGTTCCGTCCGGCTCGAGCATCCCAAGGTGACTCCTGAAGGCCCGACAGAAAACAGCCTCTAAAATATTTGAGCGAATTTGGTACCAATTGTCGATTAAAGTATCTTCTGGGAATGACCAGAGTTTGGAAAAAGATGCAGTGCGATTCCCATTTCCCATCCATAGGAGGTAATAGAAAAGACTTTTTGTCGAGTTTTTCGAGACTGCCTGGCAGTGTTGGCTACAATCCGGCGTCGGGCATTTTGGCACTGGCCGACGTAAATACGCCACCAGTCCTTGTGTCGATAATCCTTAGCTATGCCAGCATACCCGACAGGAGCTTCCCAGAAATTGCAGAGATTGCCAGCAGAAAGAATTGCATCAAAACAAGACGCGTGCGTGATGTTTTGGCCCTCAATTCCTCTGATATCGCTATCGATGAGCTTAAGGAGGCTCTCTGTGATCCTCTGGACACCACCATGCTTTGATACCTCTTCGCGATATGACATTAGGCTTGCCCCAGGTAGTGTACCGCCCATCAGATCCTCGATTGTAGCCTTGCAAAGAGTCCGTAGATTGGGAAAGTAGAAGGATGGCTGTAGTGAGAGATTCTAAATGAAGTCGTTAGCTGGAGGTCCTTCTTGAATGAGCATCCTACATTTTCTGTCGGCCCCCTCTGTAACAGCGCAGGACACGAACCGATCGAATCTCGGGGTCAATTTCAAGCCACCTTTCATCGTCATGTCTTGGCGACTCAACCGAGATGATATTGCGTCCGTGACGCTCATCTATATTGCCATCTCTGTTCTGACGCTTTCTTGACTCCGATAGCTGGTTCGCTCCGGCGCGCTTGGCACCCACAAAGACTGGAAATTGTCTCTGGGGGCACAATCTCTCTGGGTGACCTTTTAGGTGGCACGTTCCGCAGGGTGGCACACGATCGCAGTCCTTTATCATGTGCCCAGGAACTTTGCAGAAAACACATAATATACATTGAGGGCAGTTTCTGAGAGTGTAGCCACATAATCCACACGTCTTGCAGACTTTGGCATCTTGATTGGGCACATAAAACATTCTGTGAGTAACGCAATCAAAAAGTATTAGCACTATAAAATATGGAGAAAGACTTGAATTGGCAGATACCGTACTTGATCACCTGACGCACGCCCCCACCTGACGCACGAAAATCGATTCTACACCGATATTTTGAATATCTTTAAACCTCAATATCATCATCAATATGGCTCCTATTGACGAGGCGATTGCAGAATTAAACTCCCTGAAGCTTGAAGATAGACCTACTCTTACTTTTATTGCGAAAAAGTATGGAATTCATAGGTCAACGCTATCAAGAAGATTCCGCGGCGTTCAGCATTCCAAAGATGAGCAATACCAGGACCAACGATTGCTTAATGATTGACAAGCGAAAGTGCTTATTTCTAATATCAATCGATTGAGCGAGAAAGGCCTTTATATATCATTTGAAATGCTGCGAAATCTAGCTCACGAGATCTCTGGTAATCGTCCCGGAAAACAGTGGCCGAGCCGCTTTATAAAACGATATAGTGATGATCTTATTTCTCGCTATACAACTGGGATCGACTCCTCTCGAAAAAAGGCTGATTCTGCGTTGAACTATGCATTATATTTTGAACTTTTGACTCGCAAGATTTCGGAATACGATATACAGCAGGGAGATATCTATAATATGGACGAAAAAGGCTTCTTGATCGGAATGCTTAGTAAAGCGAAGAGAATCTTCTCTAAATCATTATACGAGAAGAATGGAATGAAACAACAGCTTTAGAATGGAAATCGAGAATGGATTACAACGCTCGCCTGTATCTGCGCGGATGGGACCTCACTATCTCCAGGTCTTATATACCAAGCAGCCTCTTCAAAGCTTCAAGATTCCTGGCTGCAGGACTTCGATCCTTCTCTTCATCCTTGCTTCTTTACATCCTCACCTTCAGGATGGACGAATGACGAGCTAGGATACGCATGGCTACGAGATGTATTCGATCGAGAGACAAAAGCGAAAGCGAGGCGGCGTTGGAGGCTTCTTATTCTTGACAGCCACGGATCTCATGTTAATATGAAGTTTTTCGAATACTGCGAGGCAAATAAGATCCTCCTAATGACTTATCCGCCTCATTCTACGCATTCGCTCCAGCCACTTGACGTTGGAATCTTCGGGCCTCTCTCTACAGCGTATAATGAGAGATTGGAACGATTTCTTCATGAATCTCAAGGTCTTTGTCATATTACGAAAAGAGATTTCTTTCGCCTCTTTTGGCCGTCATGGGAGAGCGCTTTATTTAGTGAGAATATCGCTTCTTCGTGGAAATCGGTAGGCGTTTGGCCGTTGAATCCTAATATCGTCCTATCGCGATTTAATCGAAATGACGATAATCGGCCATCCTCTAGTGAGTCATCTCGCTCAGTGCTTGGTGCAGAGGATTGGAGGAAGATTGAGAGACTTCTTAAGCATGCAGTTGTTGACTTATATGATCAAAAGGCAAAAAAGTTGAGTTCGACGATGCATCACCTCTCTACAGAGAATGTCATCTTAAAACTACGCTGCCAGGGCCTTGAAGAGGCCCTTCTTCAAGAGAAAAAGAAGTGTCAGCAAGGCAAACCTCTTTTATCTGAATTACGGGCCCCTGAGGACAGCTACGCGGTATTTTACTCTCCTAAGAAGATTCAGCAAGCTCGTGACCTTCAAACAGAAAGAGATGAGACTGTACAACTCGCTAAAACTTCAAAAGAAGAGGAAAGGCTTCGTAAGCAGCGAGAGAAGCAAGATCAAAGGCTTTTAATTGAAGAGCGTAAACGAATCCGCGCTTCAAATCGAGAAACGCGGATTCGTGAGGCAGAGGCAAGAAAGCAGAAAAAGCGAGATAATCAGCTCACTAAGCAAGCTGATATACAGCTTCAAAATGACCTCAATGTCGCTCAGACAGGCGAGAATAAGGTCTCTGTAACTCCAAAGGCAAAGAAATCGAGTGATAAAGCTGCTGCAGAACCTGAGATTGTTGATGAGGTCCCCCCAACGCTCAATCGCCGCGGTAGACAGATCCGCCTGCCTGAGCGCTTTCGGCAGTAAAAAATGTTGTAAATAGTTTCAGTATAATGCATTGATTCATCCTTCTAAAAATCTCTGTATAATACTGAATGTGTGTGGTTGTAGAGCTTCATTTCTATATAGGTGCTGAGGTAAAATTCGTGCGTCAGGTGGGGGCGTGCGTCAGGTGATCAAGTACGGTAGTAGATCTAAAGATGGTCTCTGTGTGACATCTACAATGGAGCTAATGAAAGACAAGTTTGTTTATTGTTGGACCTAGGCTGCGGCATGACCACGGTTAACCGCAGTTAGCCATCACCATAACCGCGCGGTGAGATGATGGTTATAAGATTCTGATAATCTCGCTTTGCGGTAAAATAATGATTTTAATTAAACTATAATCGTGATGACCGCGGTTAATTTCATTAGTGTAAACAATGCAAATCTTTCAGAATTATAAGAATGCATAAAATATGCTATTTTTTTTGTAATTTTAATGTATATTAATGTATGTACGGTGTCGCAGAACAATAATTTAAAATATTAAATAAATAACTTTACAATTTTTGATTTTATATTACATTATATTGAATATATTATATTTTTTTTAATTAAATTGTCTTGAGTATAAATTTTAAAATCTATCAATCTTAAATCTAATTGATAGTTTGAACTGCTTTCACTATTTTTCCAATTTTCTTTTTTTATTTCGCGATACATGAAACAATTAATTATTTTTATTATTTGAAATTTTAATCTGATTGTAAACCCGTTTATTTTTTGTTTATGATTGATTAACACGTATTATAAACTAAATTAAAGATAACATTGATTTCAAGATTATTTTAATATTTAAATCTAAAATTAAATCGGAAGCAGCGATATTATTTGTTTTATTTCTTTTTTTTTTATTTTTTTCATCAAATCAAGTTTACTGTATTTAAACTCAAATCTGATTGAGAAAAAATGAATCATTAAATTTCAAATAATATTCTTTTTTAATTGTTTTTGATGATAATGACATATATCACAAACATAATTAAAAAAACATTTAACATCAATTTTACTCTCTAAGAATTGCGGTTTGCTATTTCGCTGCCATTTTCGGCGGCAGGTGCCGCCGAAAATGGCCGCCTTTCAGCAACACCCCTCCGCCACGCTCCCGTCTCCTTCGACCACGCACCAGCTCATTCACCGCTTCTGCCTTAGGCTGCCATCGTGTGGGCGCTTACATCTTGGCTTCCTGAGGGCTCATTCATCGCTTCACCGTCGCTCATTACACCCCTACGAGGGCGCCGAAAATGGCCTCCTTCACCCCGCCCGCTGCACTCTGGCCAGTACCCAGCCGTCATGGCTATAAATATCCTCTCCCCAACCGTCTTCCATCCGACATTCTCTCCTCTTTCCGACTCAACCACCACCCCGGAGCTCTCCCTCTCCTTGTGCCTCCGTGCTATCTATTCAGTCGTGCATTAAAACGTCTCAAGTCCTTCGGCAGTTCCTTTCCACGGTCAGCATAATCTCCTGACCATGCATCGTCGTCGGAGGCCCAATGTCAGCAACCACCAAATCACAAGCGATTCCTCTTGTACCTCTCCCATCGATACCGACAGTGACAGACCGTTCGAGCCCGACTCCTCTGAGACAGATCTTACCGAACCGGAACGTTCCCCTGCAGCTGGTCGAAATATTGCTGGAAAGAATTCAAGTCCAAGTACTGAGACAAAACCGGCACAATTAGACACATCGAATGTGGAACGTGTCCATCAGGCCCTATACCAACTTCCAGATGATGACACGGATGAGGACCTGGCCCAGGTGCCGGAGGATTACGGCCGATCCAACAATACGAAGAAGCTGAGACTTCGACTGAAAGAGCGTTGGGCTTGGTAAGTGACTAGGATCTTGTTGAAAGGTTACAGCAAGGTACTATCAACTGACCGACATGCCTTATCTCAGGTTCTGCCAAATCAAAGCAAAGGAGCGGTGTGCCGATCTAAAATGGGAGGATGCAGAGGACGCACTGCGTGAGGCGTCTCCAAATGACATGCATCGATTTCTTAATTGGTGTCTAAAGCTGGAGTATAGTCCCGATGGTCGCCGTCAGAAAGGCTATACAAAGGCCAGCGCCCTGGAGGCGGATTGGAAATACTTCCGAATTTACTACATACGGGTTACTAAACATGAGATGAGCAAAGAGATGGGTGAGGCGGTTCGCACGGTTTGTTTTTTTGATCCCCCTGTCATCTCAATGAGGCTTACTCTAACGAGAACGGACAGGGCATGAGGCACTTGGTCGACAAGCGTGGCCTTAACAAACAACCGCGGGCAAGTGCCCCAGTGTACATCGAAGATATGGTCCCATTCAACGAGACAATCCTTCAAACCCGGGAAAAGCGATTCCACCTGGGGTTTCAACGGATTATTTTGTGTTTATACAATACTATTGGGCTATTTACCGTCAACCGGAAACAGGCAATGCTTCATCTTCAGTTCAAGCATTTACAATTATCGCTCCAGCAAGATCCGCGCGGAGGACCTCCGGTGCCGATGATAGAACTCGAGCCCCAGTTTGTGAAAAGCGTCCTGGGCATGTCGAAGCTGTAGGTGCTACCCGGTGCCATACACCTACCCATCACATGGCTTGTTGGACTGACTGGCTAATTAGAAACACGTTCTCGCTACCTGAAATTGTCTACGGCGTATCACTTGTCTTCAGCCCGCACGTCCTGCTCTTCAGCATATTATTTTACGTCCATGCGTTTGAAGCGCCTCATTTGACCTCGATGGAAGACCTACGGAGGCTACTTGTTGAGGGTGGCCGACAGGAAATGCCACTCCCCTTAAAAAAAGAGATGGATAATTACTATGTCTTCCCGAAGGTCGATGTGATCTGTGGTCAGCCCCGTATTTTATGGGAGACGCCAATGAATGGAAGCACACTCGACGCACAGCTCAGGACATCCAGTGAGATACACGGCTTCCTCAATCATTTTTTCTCTCACCAGTTCCGATACGGAGGAGGTGATTTGCTTGACAAGAGTGGTAAGTGAACTATAAACCCCCAAAGTTCTCTTCTCCCAATGGCAGGTAGACTAAGTCTTTTGTCCAGGTTTCGTCAGTGAAGCACAACGCAATGTGATCATGGCCCACGCCACTAGCAGAACGTTTATTAAACACTATCGTCCCCGTCGACATACTGGCTTACAGGAGATCATGTGCGGCCTCGATCCTGATGAGGAGTTCTCAAAGGCTGTGACCCGGATGAGCCGTTGGATTGATCGGCGGCGACCACGACACCTGAGCGACGCTGACCGGGAATCGGTAGAGAAGGACCCGGAACTGCAATCGGCCATACGCTGGCAATTCGAGCTGGACTCTCAATGCGGCAGCCGCTCTTATGAGCCAGCGTTGCGAGCGATGCTGGAGGACCAGAAGCGTAAAGTCCACAATCTGCGTCGGCGTCTACAGGAAAAACGGCGGAAGGAAATACGGCGTGATTTCAGTCGAAAACAGGCTGTAATTGACATTGAACGACAGCTGACCGGTGGAGCGGTCAGTGACGAGCCCGCGCGTCAGGTATTACGGAAAGAATTTGCAATGCCACCGGAGCAGATTCTTCTCGTGGAGACGTTCTTCACTTGGCCCACTACCGATTCATTAGAGGACGAGTGGACACGACGCAATAAAGCTGTTGCTGCTGGAATACAATATTGCGGTTTTCAGGAGGGTGGGCCCCTCCGGGGACGACGGAAGCGCTCTGCACTGTCTGACAATGACGATGTAGTTCCATCTCCGCTAGCTCAAAAGATAAAGACTGATGCGCCGCCAACTGCGTCGTCGGAGAAGGAACGTACGTCTGACAGGAAAAATATTCCGAATGCGGAACAAACCTTCGCATGCTTCCAATGTCCCAAGGCATACTCTGACTATAATGGAGTGAAGAGGCATTTTAAATCATCACATTTAATGGACCGGAAATGTAATTTTTGCGATCTGTCCGTCCTGCACGAGATGCACTTGCGGAGGCATGCTGGGGATGTACATGGCCTTCGAACGTGAGCGTCGGGTTCTACTTGTCTAATGCTAGAGGCCCTTGCCTATTTCATTTACGTGTTTTTCTCTTTAAACTTAATTGGTGAAGGTATCGTTGGATTGGTCGCTGTTTCATCAGAGAGTACTTTATTTGTCGCGATTATCTAGAGCCCTCGCAACAGGATGTTCTTGTTCCTTAGATGTCCAGTCGTGACGATCGAATAACCTTGACCATACCAAGAATCTGGAACGGTGTAAAAACGAGCAGCCTGTAATTGACAGCGAGCGGCAACTTTCTGGAAAATTGGTGGACGAAGAGGTCATGGGCACGCTAGAGCGAACCGGGTACATGACGCCCCAGCATATGCTCTTGATCGATACTATTCTTACTATGCCCGGTTCTACTATCGAGAAGGAATATCAGCGTCGGATCTCCGCGATCAATGCCGTTATCGCTTTCTGTGACGTGGAAAAGGGGACGGCCTACTAGATGACCAAACGTTTCCCAGAAACGGCGCGCCGATAATGCACTGACATCTGCGCCCCCTTCAAAGCGACAAGAACCGTGTTCGGTGGTTGAGTACGAAACAGGGCTTCAATCGGCGACTTCGTCAGTCTCCGGATGAAAGACCAACTATCTGCTTTCTATGTGTTTCGGATTCCAAGCTCCCAGCAATCGATCCATACTACTCCGGGATCTCTCAGCCGGCACTTTGTTGACAAGCACGTCAAGCGCTTCCCCAAGGAAATGCGCGTTACGTGCGATATCTGCAACGAGGAGTTGGAACATAAAAAGCATGTAATGAGTCATGCGCAGAGAGTGAAGGGAATCGTCTCACGTCGGCCATTGTCTGCTCTTGGTCCTATATAATGATCATGTTGGACCTTGACAACTTAGAATCCGTATTTTCTCTTCGCGCTTTTTACGCACCTCATCCTCAAACATGTTTGTATTTCTTGATCAGATAAAATTGTTCTTTTTCACTGTTTTGTGGGATTGTTGATCCGCCTCGTATCTTGATGTATTCTGCTACAGTTGTCCGATGACATTGCCTTTCTTTTACTTGTCCTTTCAATATACCCTGTCCACCTGCAATTTGAACGGGATGGCAACTTGTGTCCTTGCTGAAAAGCGTTGGAACTTACTGGCTTCAATATTCTCGGCTTCAACCAATAGCACGGAATTTGACGGGGAAAAGGGGTTGAATGCACGAATCGGCGAGCTTTCAAGGTTGGCATGTCGGCTGTAAAGGCAGTCGACTCCACATTATTGTCCTACTTAACTTCCACAGAAAAACCAGAACATATTCACTGGTCCAATCTACCCTTTACCTTTCTACTCTTTGGTGGCAGCCCAACTGATCCCGTTTTATGAGTAGGAGTCACCTCGCCGTCATTACCATATACCGATATGAAACTGCCGCCTCGTCCTCTCTGGGATGGACACAACCCTCCACGACCCTGGGTAATGCCTCTTTGCTGGCCATGTATTTCACCAGAGGCATTGGGATAAATAGGGGAACGTCGTCCAGGGCGCGGGCGGGGACCAAGTTTCGGTGACCCAAATGGCGGCAATGGCATGTATGCGCCCTCATCTTGGTTATCGTCTTGACGCTTTCCTTTACCAGGAACATCATCCTGGGCTGTAACCTTTGCTACACTTGAAATGAGCGATGGGGACGGAAGACATTGCTGAGAACGACTATTAATATCCGCTGAATAGTCATAGCTATTATACTCACGGGGGGTTCTGATCGAGTTCTTCTTCTCCGCGAAATCTTGCATCTGGACGACGATATCTCAACTTGTGGCTTGACGGCAAATACATGATCTCCACTATTGGGATGAGGAGGAGTTGAAGGTTGTGTCATCGGCGAAGGTTGTGTCATCGGCGAAGGTTGTGTCATCGGCGAAGGTTGTGTCATCGGCGAAGGCTGCCCTGATACTGGCGACATTGGTAGTGACCCAGAATCTAGAGTTGAAGATTTATCATAGAACTCATTTGGGTGTAGCTGAGGGATCTCTTCTTTCAAGATCTTTAATATTTCTTGGACAAGATAATTCGGCTCAATATGCTGATTTGGTGAGATACTGGACTGCATAAGGAGCTCATTCTGTCCAGGCTGAACGTGCTGGAGCTTGTCGACTTCGATACCCAGCATCTTTATGGAACAGTTTCTGCCAAACGAATGGTTAGTGGATGACACGATTTTAGAAATTAGCCTGAGAGCCGGAAGAATCTTACAATTGGGCCAGGATTGGATCAGATCTATCCCTCGAGTAGGCTTGTCGTAGCATCTGAATATTCACCAGTATCCCAATTGTTCTCATTGATTTCTCCAAAGCTTTCATATCCTGGAAGAGGTTGGGAACAACCTTCTTACTCTGTAAAAACCATTCGAACTGTACTTTCCACTTTTCGGCACAGTTCACAGGCTCTTCGGTTATCCGACAATCGAATATCCTTGTCATACGCTGAAGTCTTCTGGTGATCCGTTTTGATTCCTTTTTAACCCTTGCAATGAGCTTCCGGTGACGTTTAAACATTGGAGCTAGCTCTTCCATGCTCTTTGCATTCTTTATTATATCACTGAAAAACTCATAAGTTCGAGCCACTGTTTTCGTTTTCTTGATTACTTTGTGGAGATCTTGCTTCGCATGGCGAATTCCCTGGTACGTCCTTTTCATTTTCCCAGTAAGGGTGAGGAGCTCGCGTGCAATTGGATAGCTGACGCCCACTATTGAGAAAGGGTCCACCATTTTTGTTTATTACAACTCGGGTGGGCTTGCGTAACACAAATAAAGATATTGCTTAGGAATAATTAAAATGAATGGGATTTATGACCGAGATGACTGAGAAGGGGTGGGATTTATACTTATGCTCATATCTTAGTAAGGCTGTAATAACAAGCTGAGCTCAGCCCATAGCCATCGCAGATATCGTCTATTTACACATATTCTATCCATCGAAAATGCTCGAATACCCAGTTCTAGACGCACAGGCACACAAATTACAGGCACCTTCATACATATCTGCAGAGGCACTTTGCCAATATCAAGATTTCATAGCAACTAACTAGCGTAAGGCTAGCGACAAAGAACAGAATACCCCGCTTCACCTCGCTTCACTGGAAAACAAGGCTGACTATTCGCGTAGACCAATCTTTGAGTGCCACGACCAACAAATCAAGAAAATGGCCACGGATACGCCGGAGCCTTGTGGTGAGGGCATAGCTGTGGTTCTTGCCAGGTGGTAGTCTGACTCGAGCGGTTTAGTACAGTCTCCCTCCAGCTGACCGCTGGGTAGGCATTAGTTACACGCCAGTCAATCGACCAGTGTGACCTACTGTGACTGTCAGCACCGTGTAAATTGACAAGTCCGTTTTATGGGCCATTTTATGTCTACCTTTTCATCCATATACATACGTTTTTATCTAAGGAGTTGAACAATGGAATGACAATAGGCCCCCGTTCAATCCATTCCCTGCAACAAATGAGTATTCTCTATTAGCACATCACATGAATGAGAGAGCATGGATGAGAGAGACATTCTGGAATCCAAAGTACAATCTAGCCCCAAGCTTCTAGCCAGGAGGCAAGATCTCTCTGTTATTAGGCTGAAAGGACCAGTTCCGTAGGTTGTACCCAATCACAAGATTCTGCGCAGTAGTTCCTTAAGAAATCCATCTGTTTTGGCCGCTTGCTTGGGGAATATCTTCTAGGTGTCTTTGGTGTACTCCTTTAGCGCGGCGTTGTTAGGAAACTTTTGAACGATCGCTCCTGTGCGGCGAGAGTCGATCAGGTCTAATATGTTGACACGTACTTTAGCAAGAGCACAATAGGACGGGGTACGTGTTGTGGATTCAGGTTTCTGGCCTAGTCCGATGGCAGGATATAGCGGAGAGTTTAGGTGGGTTAGAGTAATTTCTCGCAAGAGACCTGGGGGGTGCTAAGGTATTAGGAAATGCACGGACCTATTATGGGGGTGGAGAATGTGTCGGTTAATCAATCTTTTCAGTCCTACAATTCCCTCCAGCTTGGTACTAGATACCCACGGTTACTACCCTCGGGGCAGGCCCTTGATGATGTAGGCCCTTAATAGCGTAGACTAAATTGTCTCCAGCATGTTTGCGTTGAAACGCTCCTGATCCGATGGCCGTATGGCCGAGCTCTTCGTTTTGTTTCTGAAATGTGTAGCGCGTGTATTATTCTACACATAGGTTCAGACGTATTTCGAAGATATACTGGTGAGTTATGCAGAATAAATTGTAGATGCTCAACTTCCAAATGATCTAGAAGATAGTTGCAAACGAGACCGGCGGGTTACTGGCATTAGGGAAGCAAACCGATCTACCAAGTTGCATTATCTTCCTATCAAGAGGATGTCTCTTCTAGAGGAACGTGTGGTCGAGCCCTTTCCATAAGATACCGGAGGAGTTCATCGGTACGACTAGCGGAGAAACGCAAGCTTGAAATAGAATCTCGGAGTTTCTTGGCAGAAAGCAGACGCAATGGTTCCCACTGGTACTTGCTTGCAAAGAAATTGATACGAGAAAGGTCGACAAGATTGGCTAGGTCAGAAAGGGGAAGTCTCTCGATCTGATATGGAGGGATCACGACCGCAAGTGGACCGTCAAATCCAAGATCTTGCAGACCAATTGATTGTTTTTGTGTCGATTTCCGGCCTGGTGAAAAACTAAATGAGTAGTTCCCTGTGTAGGCATACTCGCAGCACCAAGCAAAGATATCCGGGTCAATATGTTCTAGAAGCAGACATTGATCGTCTTGCGTTTTCGGGGGAGCGTCTAACCCCAACATTAACGGAGTTGGAAAGCGCTCTAGAATTGCCGAATGAATCCATAATCGAGTACGCTCCTTTCCCACCTCAACCAACAATGGTTGCGATTGGAATGTTCTGGAATCAAGAAGCTAAGTAAAATTCCACCAAAGTATTTGGTTGGCTTAGGACTTACTGGAGACCGGATGAAGCGCGGTGGCGAGAACACAGGGATTGAACAGGTTACCAAGCCCCGCCATCTGCTGGCCATGGGCATATATTACGCTTTTGAGGGTAAGCACTCAAAGCCGACGGTTTGATCGATGTCCTCAAAGCGTGGGATATAAGCCATTCTCCAGATGGAGAAATGACGGCCCGATACCTTGGTGTTTGACTGGTTTGCTCGTTCTGGTTAATCTCGAAGATTCGATGCAAACAAGTCAAACACAATTCAGTGGTGCCTTCACGAACTGGAGATCTGTCAACATCTTACCTTATCCTGCATCTCATAACCAGCTGCTGCAGACACTGTACTGTACCTGAGGCTCTTGCAACCTGACAGGTACAGCACAATCCGTGGTATCTTCCCTTAGCTTCGCAAATTCTCCCTCGCTTAATATGATGCTAGCCTTGGGTTATTGGACGCCTTGCTAGGCATTAATATGTTCAATGCTGATGTCTCATACTTGTCGAAGTTAGGTTGTAGTCCCTGC